GTTGGTTCTGGGTCCTGGGAAGCGGGAATCGGATTCGGATTCGGAATTGGAAATGGAATTGAGTGCGGGGTTAACAATGAGCGGAGGCGGCCCAGATTGCGGCTGTCGTTGAAATTTCTTGAATTTAAATCAATGGGACATGCGTTCGTGGCGTATGAGTAATATTGTTGGAATTTACATGTGCGCGTACCTGATGAGCCTGTAAAGAGATTCATTTAAATAAAGGCTAAACGAGAAATATATATATGGGGAATATTGATTTAATTTTTATGGGTTATAAAGGTGGTAAACAGTTAGAAAGGTTATTAAATTTGACTGTATTACTGGTTAAAATGAGAGCTAAAAAATGTCTTTTAAGGTATGTTTTCATTGAAACAAATACTAAATTAATCAGTAGGAATATAATATATATTAAACCTTCCTTAATCAAAAATTTTTATTGATTTCCAGCTTTGCAAACTAAAAGTTCTAACCTTTATGACAATAAATCACTTGATCATATTTTATTTCTATTAAATAAATGTTCATATATAACTTCTGTATAACAAGAGATACATCTCTAAAAAAAAAAAATAACCAATTAAACAATCATTTATCACTTTTTTTAATAGAATCACAAACCCGATAATCCAGAAAACGGATTATTCCCAACTGCTCGCATAGTAAAATTCTGCGAAAAAAGCCATGGCATGATTTGAAGGTTGAAATCAAATTAAGTCAAGTGAATAAATTGACTTTTAGTGCATATCGAATTCGCAAAAAAAGCGCATCCAAAATATAAAAAAAGGAATATAGAAAATATGCGTTGAGCAAATAATTCGAGAACAAATCTATAGAAACTCATCGCTTTCAGGCAGTGATACCTGATGGAGTTGGATGGCGAGGCAGTCAAATGTAACTAAGAACAAGAAAGGAAGCTAACTTCGGCACGCCGAAGTTTATATACCCTTGCAGATAGAAATTCTATGACTAGGAATCCATACAATATAAATTATATATATTTGTGTTAAAAAACAATGAAGTAATACCTGCTTTCATTTCATTCACCTATACATATTATATTTGCAGCTTTTCGTTCACAGATTTCCATTTTTCTTCTACATCAAACAATAGTTTGTATGGCACCTATATGATATAGTCGTCCGATTTTCATGAAATTTGACACAAAATTTAAGACTAATATAAAATGGCTACACCTCAAATTTGATGAAAATCTGTTGAAAACTGAAAAAGTTATAATTTTTAATTGTATTAATTTCTCTATCGTTCCTATGGGAGCTATATGATATAGTAGTCCGATTTTCATAAAATTTTATACAAAATTGTAGAGTATAATAAAATGGCTATATCTCAAATTTGATCCAATTCTATTGAAAACTGAAAATGTTAAAAATTTTTTTGTAAAAATTTTCCGATCATTCCTATGGCAGCTATATAATATAGTCGTCCGATCCGGCCCGTTCCGACATATATACGAGTGAGAGTATATAGAAGGCTAACTACAAAGTTTCATTAAGATAGCTTCAAAACTGAGAGACTAGTTTGCGTAGAAACGGACAGACGGACAGACGGACAGACGGACAGACGGACAGAAGGACAGACGGACAGACGGACAGACGGACAGACGGACATGGCTAGATCGACTCGGCTGTTGATCCTGATCAAGAATATATATACTTTATATGGTCGGAGGTGCCTCCTTCACTGCGTTGCAAACTTCTGACTGAAATTATAATACCCTGCAAGGGTATAAAAATAGACTACAAAAAAATCCACTCGTTGATTTAAATGAATTTTTTATCGAGTCAGGGAATTGAGTGTTTAAATAAAAAGCTAAATGTATGTGCATTTATATTCAAAGTTGAGAAATATATGAGGGGACTTTGAGGTCCTAAAAGGCTAACTAAAAAACATAAATATTTTATACTTTGAAAAGTCTAAATGTATTTTAAATAATACAATAAATAGGCAGAAATAGTTTACAATAGAAAATACATAAATTAAAAATAAATTTCCTAAGGTTATAGTGAAATATAATACATTTTTCTGTAACCATAATATTTTTCATTAGACTTCTCTTCCTATTTTTCTTTGTCCCAACAGTCTTGGCCTTAAATAGAATAAAGTTAAAATCTTAAATGCAATCTATCCTTGGAAAGCCTTATTCGTAGATTGCCTTCTCCTTCTCCTCAAGTCATATCCTGCGTTCGCATCTGCCACTCCTGAACTGGACTGAACGTCTTCCCTAGACTCCTTTCCCTTTCCGTGCGCTCACCTGTCAGTGGCAGCCCTCTGGCCGCTTCATCTTCATTCCCCGTCCATGAATAATCCGTGCGACACTTGCGTTTTATGGCTTTGCATAGTTAGAAGCTGTTACCCGAGGGGGGTGAGAAGAGCCCCTTGTTCCTGGTCAGCATGCCCAGGCGCTTCCTTTTAGCCAGCGTTTAGCTGGACCTGAAGGAGATGAAGTTGCACAGAGAGAAAGATTAGTATTGCCTTTTATAGATTCAATTACAAGAATTAAAGGTCTTAATCAAGCTGCGAATATAGCTGCAAATATATCTTAAATAATAATATTTATTCCTGTAATAAGAATATAGTTTATTGTTTTTAATTATCATATTTTTTTCTCTCTGCTTTTGGAGCTAGAAAACGTTTGCAGGAAGCCAACAACAGGTTGCGTGCCAATGCAGTTTTTCATTGCGAAATGTCGGCGCTGATAGCGAGTGTAATTATTATGCTGGACTGCGGGTATGCATGCTCCATGCTCCATGCTCTCCGGAAGGAGATACTGGAGGATGAGTGCTCCGCAATTCTGGTCCTGTTTTGCCATTCCCTCTTCCACTCCACTCCACTCCACTCCACTCTCTGGGACACCCATAAACGCCTCTAGTTATGCAATAAATAAAATGCAATTGTTGCGCCACGAACCGGGAGGTAGCTTTGGGAATGGTTTGCTGGGTGGCTTTATGGCTCCGGGCTTTGGCCGCCATGTTTGTGAACAACTGCAAGATGGCGCCCCGCATCCGTTATGGTCGAACAACCAAATCCAAAACGCACACTTTCGCGCGCTGTGTCTGCTACACTTCCGGTTTTTGTGCGAAAAGTTGTCGCGTTGTTCGCGTTCTGGAGACCAGCTTCCGCTTAACTTTGGCTTATTTAGCTTTTGCTTTAATTTCACAAGAAAGAAAGCATAGCATTTAAGGTGTCTGGTGGAAGGTCAAAAGGGGGGTTGGGCATAAATAATTTAGGGAACAAGGAATAAGCAACAAAGTTGTGGACTTGAGGACAACGACTCACTTGGCCTGCATAGAAATTGCAGTTTACAGTTGCTAATTGAGTGTGCCGACACAGAGTCTGTGCAGGTGGACTAATGTAGGTAATTAGTGCGGGCGACTTGGCTGAAAAGATTTCAGTACAAAGTTGCACAGGAAAGGCTTAAGTTTTGGCCTCGCACTGGGGTGGAAATAAATTCAAAAGATTGCATAACAAAAGCTGCAACTAAAGGACATTGTCAATAGTAATGCCTTAACTAGTTTAAACGTTATTTAATTAAGGCAGAAACATTTAATTGGACATTGAATATATATATTTTTTAAGTGGTCTTGTCTTACTTACATTTATCTAGTAAATAAATGCCATATTACGCACTCTCGGCTAACTGCAATTTCATGTATGGGCCAGGACATTGCAGGGCATTAAGTTTAAACTCGATTGAAGCACAATCACGCCCACCGGGATAATGCAGTTGTTGTGGGAATATGGCCAGAGCCGGTAGTTTATGGCCAAAGCGAGATGCTGGGCATCTGCTACTACATATTACTGCTCCTGCTGGCAAGCGAATCCTTTTCGTCCCTGGCCACGTGGGCGTGCACTGCGTTGTCTGGACGACGAGGACAACTTGCCACATGTGGCAAATTAACTTAAAATTAAGCAATTAATTTAATTAGACCACGGCTCGGTGTGTGTGTGTGCACCGTGGGCGCCCCAAAGATTTGCACCACACACACACACACACACACACACACACACACACGCAACAGTTGCAATTAAGCCAGCCTTCACACACAAATACACACAGAAAACAATGCTTTTTCACTATTGCAATTGGATTTTAAGCGCATGCGGAAATTGCAAACACAAATTGATAAAGCAAAACCTGTATGAGAGTCCATGTGTGTGGCAATAAAAACCGCGTTATATAAGGTGAAAAATTGGCTTACGCCTGGGACTGACTCCACCAAAGAAAATTGAACGCCACAATATATATGCCATGGCAATGCAATTCATTTCTCCATTAACCAATTAAATGCAATTCATCAACTGACATTCGCAATTTACAAAAAAATACAGGCATATTAATAAAGGATCTGTTGAAAAACTTGCACAGATTAAAATTCCCAATGACAGCCAACATTGAAAGTGTTTTAAAGTCAAGCGGAAATTATTTTAAATTGAGTGCAAATTTAAATTAAACTGACTTTATGCGTTGCCAAGTTGTTAAACAGTATGTGAGATGAAAATTTTATTTATTTATTTGTGAGAAAAGTTTGTCTGTAACAAAGGATTGCAAGTAAAGTTTGAGGGTAAAACTAGGAAATGTATTATTTTTATATTCCAATGGGGACTCTCAGAGAAGGAACTGCTTCTGGGATAGGAACAAATTTTTAACGTATTTTTGGAGTGTAAAAATAACAGAAATAAAAGAGAAATATAGAAAATAATTAATATGAATCTAAAAGTGTAGATCTTGTAATCTACATTATTAGATACAGAATTTTCAGTCCATTTCTTGCTTTAAAAAATATAGTTATTAAAGAAACCTACATCTACACTTCATCTTTAATAAAAATACCTAAATATTTTTCCACCAAATTAAATACAATAAAATTCATACAATAGCATTTACCTTCAGTCAATGTATTTCACGCTTATGGCTAAGATCCAATTAGTGGCACTTAAACTCTATATCTTATTACTCGTTTTTGTTTGTTAAGTCATCAAGCACTTTCTGCAGAATTGGCGGCTGCCAAAAAGGGGAAATTCAGACCGACCAGCATGCTGTACAGCTTTCTGCTATCGAAGATGAAAGGAAAAATAACAAATAGCAAAAAATAAGAGGAAAAGAGTTAGGTTTTGTAAGCGGCTTAGTGGGGATTCTATCTGAGTTTTGGCTTACTAGATCGAGTCGGAGCACTTGCCCTGGGCATCCCGCACCTGATGGCTCCGGCAACGGGCACCGGCACCGGCTGATGATTTCTTGGCGGCGGGCATCGAAGATCGTTGAACCTTGACCTTGAAAATGGGTGAGTTGGGACCCTTGGGTGGTGTATACTCAATGCCATCGGGCAGGGAAGGTGGCGTAATGGAGGGTACATCCTTGGACCTGCCATGCAGCGGATGATGTGGATGTGGATGTGGGTGCAGGTGTGGAGCCTTGGTTGCCCCACCAATGGGTGTCTCCACAATCATTAGATTATTTAGCCTGGATTTGGGTTTTGTCACACTGGTTACCAAGTCAGCTAGCAAGCTGGAAGTGAAACTGGAGTTTAAGCTGGGAGTAGTAACCTCTGTGGTCTCTGTGGGAGCCGCCGATTGTGAAGTTGCCTTGGTGCTTGTCGAGGTACTGGCCTCAGTGGTCAACTTGATCGGCTTGACGGTCAACGCACTGTCATCATAATAGTAATCCTCCTCATCGTTGTATGTCTCCTAATTGAGAGATCCCGCAGGTTATTTTTAGACCATCGATTCTGGCCAACTGGTTCTTGGAATGAACAACAAACACACTCACCTCAGCCAGCCCATTCTGGCCCACCTCGATGATGGCCACATCCTTGATGCTCACATGGATATTGAAGCGACCCGTCTGCCTCTGGTCGAAGACCACTCGCCCTGCCGCTGACTCCGGTTGCTCGCTGGTCACCACCGGCGCAGTTTCGCCCTCATCGATGGGCAGTGATTGGCCCAAAGTTAGGCCAAAAGCGATCAGGGCCAGGGCTATCAGTGGCATTTCGAATTCGAGGGGGAAACCAGTTCTAATTCGAGTCGAAAAGAAGAAATTAAATGCGACGAGGCTGCCGGCACGTGTGTTCGGTTCGAAGGTGCGATCGCAACTGGACGGATCGCTGGGCAAGAGGGCACTACTTAAAGGCAGTATTTAGCTGGCAGAACACTGAAGAAAAATTTTGTTATTACATAAAATAAAAAAGTACATTTTAAAGAATATATTTTATATAAAATAAATTTCATGTAAAAGATATTACTGGGTAAGAGGATAACCTGCATTAGTAGGCTGTGTCTGGAGAAATATGGTACTTCGCGTTAAAGTTAAAAAAGAATCATTTAAAATATGTTAAAGTAAACTAAAATGTATGAAAAAATATTTGTGAATAAAGTTAGATGTAAAAATGTTATAAATAAAATTTATTGAATTTTTAAATGAGTTTATTTGTTGGCTCTATGTACTAATCCTTAACCTTTTAATATTATTGTAAAACCGTTTTCCTGCTCTTTAAAAGTATTTATATAAAAAGATGCTCTTTAAATAAATGATTAATATATATTTTCCTACAATAAAACTAGCTGCATAACCTAATATTTAGCTTAAAACTTATGAAGACCTCTGACCTTTAACTATTTTCCCTTAAAATTTCAAAGCAAGGCTCTCTTAAGACTTGAGTAAGACCCCAAAGTATCGATTTTTAGCAATTATATTAAGTTTTGCCGCAAATGACTTCCGAGTGTGCATTTTGCCAAGGCTTAAACCAACCCTGAGATTAAGCTGCATTTCATGCAACATATTCCTATGGTAATTTAAGTGGAACCAAATATGTTTCAATGCATAAACATATACATATGTATATATCTCCATAATATTTACTCTCTGCTGTTGGCAAACACACGCACACATGAAACCAAGGCACCTCCACAAAGGTGCTAAAGAGCTGCTCAGAGCAGACAGAAGGATGGCAGGTGAAAACTAAGTGACCAACAGCCGGGCCAATACCAAATGCATATAATCATAAAGGTAAACAGTTAGACATCCGGGCAAATACGTAGTCAAGCTATGTCGTCCGGTTTAAATGACGTGGGAATGGCTCTCGAGTATTTAACAATTTAAATGGGCATTAAATTCTACTTAGAAGCCAGCCACAAATTTGTGTGTTGACGAGCACTTGACGCTGCTTTAATACATATCATATTCGCCCAACATGCAACTCATAATTCATGGTTCAGGCACTTGAAGTTCATCGAAAAGTCATCAATTAATTGAGAAGATATCGAAGGAGGCATCGCCTCTCCAATTAGCTGCCATTGAGTCATTAGCAGGTCAGTTTCTTGTGCGTAAAGGCAATCAACGTAGTTCCCGAATCATTTACATAACACCTAACCACTAATTATGCAATTATGCAGGCCAGTTCCAGGGAAATCATATGCCAAGACCACAGCTGGACCACCAGAACCACCGGAACCTCCTCATTGGTATGCAACGTCATGCAGAGTGCAAAATCAGCATTTCTCATTAGACGCAAACCCGCAGACCCGAAAACCCGAAAGGAGTAGCACAAAAAAAAAGCAAACCCACCCGAGAAAAATAGAACCTCAAAAAATTAGATTAATTTGAAATGAAATTTTAGCCAGGCGGCGAACAGCTTTCCACTTTCTTTTCGTTCTGGGCGGCATTTGTAATTAGTTTTTAGCGAATTCCCATTCTCGCAAACATTTCAAGGTTTAATGCATGGCTGGCAGGGCCTTGAGGAAACTTTTTCGCCTTTTGGGTCAGACCTCTGTCAAGCTCGCTAAAGAGCTGGCACAAAAAAAAATAGAAAAGAACACACCAGAAAAAGGGCCAAAAGGAGAGATGGGGGCATATGAAGTGTATAAATTACACTTCATCATGAATTTATTATCAGTGCTGCAGCAGCTGCATCTGGAGCTGCCACGAATGCACCACTGCAGGCACGCTGGCTCAGCACAAGATGGTCTCCTTTCTTCCTTCTCACCTGTACACCTGTACACCTCACCTGACACACACACACACAAAAACACGCACACACAACAGGAAAGAAGGATAACTTCTAAGAGATCGAAGCTGGGAATACCCTTGGAATAGGGGTCAAGAGATGGCTATTAAAATGTAGTAAATATTTGTACCAAAGAAAAGTCTTGAAAAATTCGTAATTAATATAACAAAAAAGGGGGAGTAAATTGTATAAAATTAAGTAGTTGTTTTTATTTTGGAACTATAATTTTATTATATTTTTTATTTCAAATCAAACACCTTTATTCAACAATTAAAACGTAGAATTTTAATAAACCCTTCCATTATTCTAAGTAAATCTTAAGTAATTGTGGTTTAAATAATACTTTCTTGTATCCTTTTTCTTTCCAGTAACATTTGGAAAAAGTAAGACAAGAAAGGAAACTATATTCAGGAAGCCACAGTATATATAGTCTTGCAGTTTGTTATTAAATTATAGAATTCCATCAAAAAACAAAGCTTAAACTCCTAAGCTTAAAAATTTCTCATCTTTAAAACCATATTTATCAATATTTTTATATGACTATTTTTCCAACAATTCAAAAATTAAAAAACTCATAACTAAGCCAAAAATGCATTAATTTTATTTCGAAAAGCTTTCCTATGTTAGTTTTTAATAGGTAAACAAATCTGCATACTCAGTGTAACACCTCAAAATTTTTGTCAAATTTAAACGATGTAACCCCTTATCGTTTTTTGAAAAAATCGAAAAAATTTTAAAAATAGTTTTTCTTTAAAATATAGCTAGATCGACTAGCCTTTTAATGCTGATCAAGAATATATACGATTTATAGGGTCGGAAATGACTCCGCATCGGTACAAGCTTCTAACTAATATGATAATACCCTTGCAAGGGGTATAAACATATAAAATATACCCTTAAACCCATATAAAAAAGGGTGCCAAACACGCAGCAAGCTTGGCAACAAGAGCGTTTATGGGTTTGGGTGATGTTGACCAGAGCATGCATTTTTCGCGCCAGCCAACTTGAAATTGTGTAAACTCAGCGGAAAAATATTAATTCTAATTTCCAAAGCCATCTTGCTCACCCACAGCTGGCCAAGGCTTTTCTCCTCTTCCCACTCTAAATGCTTGCCGTTTAGCAGGAGCACCTTTAAAAGCGTAAAAAATGCTCGTAGAGATTTCCTTTTTTCTCCACTTTTCTTTCTGTGCTGTCGTTACACGACCATTTGGAGCTTTCATCAATTAGCTGCTTGAAAGCAGGTGGAAAAAAGGGGGAAAACGACAAACGTTGAGTAGCTTTTAGTGTCGAAAGATTGCAGGACGAAGGCTTATGCAAAACACTTCCTTCGCTTTGCCTACTTTTTTGGGCAGTAATACTTTTGCAAAATAATTGCCGGAGATACGTTTAATCGGACTCTGGAGAGGATGAGTGAAATTGAGGAAAAGTTTAAGCATTTCACCTGGATAACATAAACTCTGCACGAGAGAATACCAAACTCTATAAATTCAGCAAAATTTATTGACAATAGAAATTATCTTTGGATTAATGACCGACTCGGGCAGGTCTGTAGATCAATATTTGTGTAGATTAAACATCTTGCCAAAAGGGACTTTCCATGAATTATAAATCCCTCTACACACATATATTAATGACGCAAATATAGCCCGCATATAATGTCGATTGATTGGGAAAACAAATCCAAATAGTGGTGACACGACTTCAAAGGCAAACGGGGTGGAGGAGAGTGAAACGTTTGCAGAATTTCCCCTGTAAACCCATATTGATGTGTGGCCAAGCAATGCGATATAAATCAGGCTTCCAATTTGTCGGTAAATTCATATTGTATCTGCTTACTTAGGAAATAAATAACCAAATCTGAGTAAATTGGTTTTTATGTGCAGTTATTTGCAAAAGAGTATTTATTTTAAGCCCACTAAAATATGCCATAAATTCAGCTTTGCATTTATGTTTTTGAATTTTTGAAAGCTTTGAAGATTTTAGTAAATAAATACAGGTGTCGGAAAAATTATTTAAATACAAGTACATTTGAGCTTTAAAACGAATTTACCTTTAACCAGCAATATCAAAATTTAATTCAATTTCATATGTAAACAAGCGATTGTCAGTGTCAGGGGCATTAAATTTCCTGTCAGCCCCGACAGTTTCTTGATTAATGTCCTGAGATATTAAATAAAAAAAAAATCGAACAAAAACTACGTCTATTGTTATCACTCTTTAACCTTAAACTGACGGCTAACAAATTTCACACACAGCCAGGTGGTGAAATGCTAAAAAAAAATATTAATTCGATAATTAAACACCGTGCGCTCATCGTTTTAATCTCTGCGCACATTTTGCATATTAATCACTTAATTAGGTTAACATTATTAAAATAAACACGAGCCTGTCTCTCTGCCAGGTTCTGTGCCCGTATTTATCAGGTAAACACACACACACCTTGTGTATATGTAGGTGTGACTTTATTTTATGTGACGCAGGTGTTTAAAATGGCTGGCTCAAAGGCTCATTTATGCCCGCACAGGTTACGTGTATGCGAGTTCATTAGGCCAACTATGAAGGAAGCCACCTAGCGGGCATTCGACGAAACAATTCGAGGGGTTTATGTACAGTTAAAAAATATATTTATATTTTTTAAATCAAGTTAAAATATAAGCAAAGTTATAAATTCTTTAATAGAGGGCTATTTCGGGATTATTATAAACGATTGCATATTTTATTTGAAATAAATGTAATTAATTAATTGTTTATTTAACCTTTTTCTTAATTGATAATATTTAATCTAACTTTGTAGTAGATAAACACTAAAATAAATTTTAAAAAGAACGAAGAAACAAATAATTATTGTCAAATCTCATATTGTAAATTGTTTTAAATTGTAAATTGGTTTAAAAAATGTCTTAAAAAATAATAAATAGATAGCAAAATAACAAAACAATATATATTTTTGTAAAAAAAAACATATCACAGCGGTGTTTTTCGTGAATTTAATTTCTTATTATAATGTTTTAATTCAAAGAATAGCTGCTTTTTAAGTTATTTTAAAATATATTATGACCATCTCAATATAAAACTCTTTCTATATATTTATACATTATAATATATTTCGAGTAAATTACATACTTAAGCAAATATTTTCGTGCTGCTTGGATGCCAGGAATGCCACCGATTAGATATGGAGAAATAGAAATACATGCGACAGGACGTACTGCATCTGCAAAGGAATGTGTGCGTGTATGTGTATCCTTATCACCGGAGCCATAAATAATATTTATTGTTCTTTATGGGGCAGCTCGCAGGGCCGCGAAGATGCCAACCCCACGGCCTAGTGTCAGTTGGGAAACATTCAAGTGTTTCAAATATTTTTTAACAGCTTTCCCCCCCGGAAAACACACACACAAACACGCATCTCGCCCCCCACCGTCCGGAAAATGTCTTCATTGCGCTTTAATGAAATGCGTGAGAGAGAGGGAGAGAGTTGGGGAGGGAGGGAAAAGCAGCAGGCAGATTGGACTGGGGGATTCCCCGTTTGCTCTTCGTATTTGCACTTTAAATTGCGCACAAAAGTATGCTACAGCCTTCATAATAAACACAATTTATGTGCCGCCTACCTTTCACTTCACATCGCTTCGCTTCGCTCCTTTCGTTTCCTTCCTTCGTTCTGTCTTCATTTTCATCTTCCTTTTTACTGTCGACAAACATTTCTCTGCCAGAGAACTTTGCGATTAAGTAATTCCAAAAGTTGTTTGTAAAAAATTACTCAAGTTCATGGAATGTGTTTGCTAGTAATATTTTAAATTAAGCGACACTGCCATCTGATATTAATAATATTTTCTTTTTTCGGGAGGGCCATGGCATGTGCCCTGGCGAAAGTTTCGACAGACTTGCCGGCGGCAAGTAAGAGGTTCATCCCGCCACAAAGAGACATCAATCAAGTTGAGCATCAATCATGGCGATGTGGGGGAAATTCACCAGTTCACCGGAAGGTGAGTGACGAAGAATGGCGGTTAAGATGGCAGCCAAGATTGCAAGGTGTCAACAGGGGAAATTATATTTGGCTGAGATAATTGTTCAGTTTAGTATTTACAAGTGCAGGTTTAATATTCATTAAGCCCTTTATTGATTGCGTAAATGTGTCAGGGAATAGTTGAGATTTTAATAATCTCTCTTGAAGAAATATATTTTTCAAGGAATTAGATTTCTAGTAACCATTGTAAATCGACGTCACAAATTTATAATCTCACGAATTGATCCTAAAACATAAATTGCCAATTCATTCCCATATTGTTGGCCTTTAATTAGGGCTTCTAATTAAAGAACCTTACCCCTTTTATACTCCATGACTGGCACAAATGCAAGCTTAAACTTTGAGATCTACTTGGGTTAGAGAAATAATTTTTCAGACTTCCTACGGCTCAGTTCAGTCTTAGGATAATGTTCGGTGCGCTATGTTTCCTGTGCGGAATTTGCTTTTTTCGCGGTGCTTTAACCCATTGGATTTATCCTTTGGAGGGTGGCTATTATGAGTCCGAATTCCTACATAATTTAACACGGCAAATGATAGCCAAAAATGAAATTGAAACTCTAGCCATATATGGTATAAACCGAGAGCTACAACGTATACCAATGATTGTGGCCAAATCCTTGGAGCAATCACTAACCGATGAGTTCCAAATGCCCATTGTAACCTGGGGATTGAGGCGAAATATCAGCCTGCGTCACCTTTTGGGCTACAATACTCTGGTGTATGTTAGTATTTCGAGTGTTTTTCCCTCAGAGGAGCCCATTTTTAATGTCCTTATGGACGGTTTGGCTGGCCAGCACTATGTACCGATGCTTTTTATCTACAAACGCTTGGAGAACAGGCCACCAACAACGAATGAATTGAAAATATTCTTTTCCTGGTGCTGGCGCAATAGTTTTACCAATGTCGTGTTGACATTCCGCTATATGATATTTACTGATATACCCGGATTTGTAAGTATCAAGTGGCACAACGAACTATTCACGTACACTCCATTTCCGGAACTAACGCTGCTAAATCTCAACGAAACGGGTTATCAGAAAATGAATATATTGATGGATCTAAGGGGCTATGAGTTTAGGGTGCCGATTTTTCAAGATCCACCGCTTGCTTTTCAGGTCAGTAGAAGAAAGGTTAAATGTATATAGAAAGGATGTACAATTTACAGAGATTCATTGCACTTTCATTTGCATTTTTTTGGCAGCTACCAAATGGGCACATATCCGGAGTCCTGGGCCTCATGTTCCATGCCTATGTACGGCATAGAAGGGGTCGTATCCGCCTGGAACCCCTGACCGATGTGGATAGGTACAACTACCCGGAGCACTTGATGCTGACCGCTGCCCGCGGTGAGATTGAGATGGGCGTGCATCCATATGCACCGCCAATACAGCCGGGATCCTCGCTAACAGCCGGCAGCTTTCCTCTGGCACCGACGCGCACCTGTGTCCTGGTCCCTTGGCAGCGTAAATCGCCTTCGGCACAATTCATGAGCAGGACCATCTTTATAAACGGAAGCTTCTTCTTGATACTCCTTCTGGCCTCGACCCTGGCCTGGCAGCTGGTGCGTGCCGATGGGCGGCAGGGTATTCAGCTCATCCTGGTGGTCTTTTTCCAACAACCGCTGCCGGGCAGAGAATTTCAACGTCTGGCGGATTCATACAAGTTCATCCACATGGCCGTTATCCTGGCCTCCTTTGTCCTCTGGTCACTGCGCACTGGGAATCTGTCGTCCGTATTTACCTCTCAGGTAAAATAGCTGGAACTAAGTTAATAAGGATATGTGTCCAAGCTTTTGTTTATTTCAGATGCCAGGGTCACAGATTGAGACGGCCAAGGACTTTCTGGAGACGCCGCTGCGTCTTATGCTCACGGAAACGGAAATGCAAATGTACTTTACAGAAGGACGGCTGCCATCGGTGCTGAAACCGCGCCTCCTGGTGGTCAACAGGACAACGCTGAAGGAGCACCTGGACCGGTTGAATACGAGCTATGCCTACTGCAGCACAACGCAGCACTGGACTGTGGTAAAGTTGCAACAGCGTCGCATGCACCGGCCACTTTTTCGGCTGGCCACCAAGCTCTGCACCTCCTACCAGATGCTACGCTTTCCGATCCAATGGAACTCCCCCTTCGAACGCAACTTGTATAAATTTAATGTCCAATCGCGACAGTTTGGGTTTTGGAACCACTGGATTACTCGGGGCCATCAGGATGCGATCCGTACAGGTTTGGTGGTGCAGCTGACAGACGAATATCAGCCGTTTATTAGCCTCACTCTCAAGGACTTTGAGTCGCTGATCATGCTTTGTTCTTTGTCCTTGCTGGGCAGCTTTGTGTGTCTGTTGGGGGAAATGTTTTGGAGTTAATATAAAAATAATAGAGCTTGAGCTTAAAGTCACAAAAATATATAAATGAATATAGAAGACTCCCTTTGAAATGTAATTCCTTGAGAATTAAGCGTAATCGTAAGACCATTTATCGAGCAGGAAACTCCATTTGGCAAAAAACTTCACTCTACCTCGAGGGGCGGTACATTCATATTTGAGTGCAACTCATTTGGCTTAACTTTTGTCTGGAGAACTTGGCGAAACAAATCGAAAGGAGGAACCAAGACTCGTTGGGCAATTCCAAACATATCGACGACTGGGTAAATAGAAAATTCAATTTGAAACGATTGCTTACTGGATAACGAAAGCCTGCCTTCAGCCTGCCTGCCAGTCGTCCTTCTGCTGTGCACTTTTGGGCCAGCCTTCAGCAGAACTTTCCACAGGCAATCCGCCTGGCATACGCTCCTGTTCCCCCACCACATTCCCATCATGTCAGGTGGAGGAGGAGGAGGCTCATGCTCCTCATGCTCCTGCCCACTCAGCAAGTTGGCCACAAACAAACTTCCTGTATCGATGGTAGCACACACGTACCGTTATCGCCCGGCCCCCGGGCCAATATCTAAGTGAAAACACAGATCAACAGTACGACAATCAGCAGAGAAACAGGCACACAGAGTCCCCACCGCCCACAGACACACATCCGCAGTCAGGAACATATTCCCATTCCCACTTCCACATCCACATCCACATCCCACATACCATTCCAATCCCAAGCCTCGCACCTGCAACGTAGGCAACATCAGACAAGGCAATGGCAAAGGTAAAGGCAAAGACAAGGCCGGAGGCCCAAAGGCATCTCCACTTGAAGAATAATCTTCAAGGAATTTCAAGGGTTTCCCAGTTCTAGATTCCTGATTCAAGAAGTCTTTTTAATATAAAAATATTTAGATTTACATTTATACAATGATGATCGGTATCTAAAGATAAGTTTTCAAATCGATATAGATTTCTGAACGTAAAAAGTTAGCTTCTGTATAATGATCATTAATAACTCTCTTTCATTGTCTTCAATCTCAGATTTTTAGCACATTTTTCCTCAGTGTATTCTTGCCATCTTTTCCCACAAAATGGCAGGCGAGTTACAAATTGTATGCTTCAGCTCGTCGCTCGCCCTTTCACCTCCAGCCTGCCACCGCTTCCATGGAACACTTTGATTGGTTGGAGGCACCTCAGTTCCTACCTCTGACCCTACCTTTGCCTCTGTCCCTGCTCCTTGCCCCATCCATGGCCCTACCCCCCTCAGTTTTTGCACGTATTACGGCCGTTGCATTTCTTGGATTGCATTTAGGCAACATTTATGCATTTTTAATGTGACAGCTGAAATGATGAGACGGCAGCTGAGAATTGCTTTTGCCTGCCTGGTTTGCTCTTTGTGCTGACAGCATGTGTGTGTGTGTATTGTGTGTTGTGTGTGCCCTTCCCCCACACACCCACACATATGCATTTTGCAGTGTCAAGAAAGTTTCACTCTCGTTTCAGTGAGGCCAGAACCGACAATTTCAGTAAATCATTAGATAATGTGCCGGGGATTTGCGTTGGCTCAGCACATCATGCATGATATATTGGTTGGATCATACAAATATATATGAAAATTCTTTTCTTTTGGCAAAAGAAATTTCTTGATTTCCAGATAAATCAGGCAGTGGGAATGGAAAGCCAGAAATAGAAACAGATGACTGGGAAATATTGATTATTGAAAGTCTTTTAAATGTTATAATTTATAAAAGTTATAATATAAATAATGTTCTTCAACATCCTTTAGTTTTTCCTCCTATTTTTAAATTACAATATTTTTATTTTTTTAATTTAATAAGAAACCTTTGCCTTAATTGTAAAGAATTCTCTGGCAGCAGCTGGTGTTCGCATTACGATAAACTGGCAGTGGCCAACAAACGTATTTGCCACCATCTAGCCCCATTAATGGGCCACTTTTGGGGCCGCACACAAATGAGGACCTGACCACAATTGACTGCCAACTAGGCGCGTCCATAATCATTGCAATTTTGTATGATTTCCAGCTATGGAGTGACTCCTCCTCTACCTCCACCTCGACCACAACACAATCGTCCCACTTGAATGCGAATGCCACGCAACGACCGCAAAAAGCAATGACGGACGAACATTTGCTTCTGTATCGACATTGGGCTTTGCCAGGACCAAAAACCTTACCTCGCTCCCCATAAGTATGCAAGGGTTTTTTGTGCGCAGTAGCTGGGAATGTGAAGGGGTATATTGGTTATCTTTTTAGCCTCATAAATCAAAAAAATAACAAATTAATTTATATGAAAATGATTTTTAAATATATTTAATGTCTGTCCAAAAGTTTACTTGGTAGTTATAAGCCAGCAAAGTGACTGAGGAAGCTTAACTTGTGCAACATCTGGGGTTGCTCAACATGTTGATAGCAACATTTAAAGGATAACATGAGACTAGCCATATTTAAAAAGGATTCCGAAGTGTTAAATTTAATTTTTGAAACTTACAGCTCAAAAAATGTCTAATACATAATAATCAATTTATATTACTTCCTATTTTCTTACTATAGTTTCTAAAAATACTGTCTTTAAAGGATATTTTCGAACCGAAACATTTTCCTGATTGCATTCTCCTTGCTTGCTGTGAAATGGAAACTGGAGCCCCATCAACATCAGCAACAGAAACAGCAACAGCTGCAACAGCAACAGCAGCAGCGACAACTGCAAGTGCAACGTTGGTGTTTATTAGCATGATTAACCCCGCCGCATTGGCGCACAAATTGCAAACGCATTGCATTGAATTTAGGTCAGCAGGGGGGAGCGGGGGACGGATAATGAGGGGTTGGCGGCTGGCAGTGGATTTGGGGGCGTGGTTTAACGGGTGGCCATGGGTTGCGTGGGCTTAGAACGGCAACGGCGACGGCGAGTGGCAAAATGTCAGAGCACGAGCATCTTGTAATTTGATTTCAACGTCATCCTGGCAATTGGCGCCACCACGCTGTTTGCTGCCTGTTTGTGAGCTGGCTGTTAGCTATTGGCCTGACATTTTGCTGATTGCCAGTCGGGTCAACAAAGGTTGCCAATTTGAGTGCGGCTCAAAGAAAGGAAGGCCGCCAAGCAAGTTAAAGGCCCAAAACGTTATTAGTTTTTGGATGCACTTCAGAGAGCGAACGCGTCACGCATTTGTGCCATAAACAAGTGGCACAAGCACAAGAACGACTTGTCGCACTTGGCTTGTTTCGTTTCATTTCCGGTTAACCACATCCTGCGTAATAAGCGGCACTTCCGCTCCACAGTGGACTTAAACTGTTTTTGTTTTTGGGGATGTAGCTGCTGTTGTTGCTCCTCCTGCTGCTGCTGCTATTGTTGTTGGTCCAGCCCAGGTTCTGTTTTATTGTGAGTCAAATTTTCGTTTCGGCTAGAAGACAGGAGGAAGAGCACGAACAGGACCCGGACCAGGTCCCTGTCACTTCCGGACACCCACAAAAAAAAAATTGGAACATTTAGAGAAAATCTAACAGAAACTGGTTTCTAATTTCAAGCTTAAGGAATATAAATTAAAAGGAGTATACTTAGTTTTATGGACTATAAGATTATAAGGTTTTAAGCGAATATGTGCGTAAGTTTAGAAGGAAAAAAACCAAAATATTTTCCTTTAAAATGAAAAATTAAGCTCTATTTTTGTTGCTGTGTATTCTGCCGGCAGTCTCAGAAATTTCTGGCCTTTGCATGTGAATGGCACGTTTGTGGGCACTTTTTGCCAGCCCCCTGCGTGCCATTGCTAAATGGAGATGCCGCAAAAGTGGAGTCTCGAATTCAGAACCGAAGCTGCTGGTGCTGCTGCTGCTGCTGCTGTTGATGTTGCTGCATTTTTATTTGCATTTAACTCGATGGCTGGCAGAAGCTATTGTTGCTGTAATTGCCTGTGTAGGACATGGCACTTGGCTAGCCCAAAAATGGCAGGACCACGCCTCGAGCAGCAGTGGAGCAATTGTTTGTTTTGCACAGAATTGGTATGGTTTACGTTTAATGAATTCAACTACGACTCCAACTCCATTTTCCATTTGCCATTTACAATCCTTTTTGTATATTCCATTTCTCGGGATCCGAGGTCCATTTACTGTTCCTGATCCAGCAACTCCCCAAGGCACAACAGTCTAATTGTTGACATAATTAACCCCTGTTGCTCCTTGTTGCAGGAGGCGCAGCTTCTGTTCCTTTCATTAACATTTCGCACACCGCCTACGAATTTCGTGTGCAATCAAAACACTTAAATAATGCGCAATTGCAGTGTAATTGCGTTGCAAGTTTGTGGCAACAATGTGGCGTGCTCCGTGCTCTGGTGCTCCGGTGCTCGAGGAGTTCAGTTCACTGCAGGACAGGATGTGCGGTGCCACTTGAGAAGCGACCTGCCCGTGCACTCCCTGCCAACTGCTGCCACCTCACCATATTATAATAGACCTACTGCCGACCCAAACATATGTTGCACAATGATTTTATTTGCACGAATTAAGCAGCTTTCGTCCTGTTATTGGCACAGTAGTCACACATTTTACTTGAGCAACTATTGTAATCTGGGAAAAATAGAATTTTGCCATACTATTTTATTTGTATGTTACGTTTTAGATTTCCTAGCAAGTTGGTAATAAATTATATTTTATTTAGCATAAATGTTTATATATTTTAAGAAAATCGAATGATGACAACATATCATATTCTAAATAAATTGTATCTATTTTTGAGTCATACTTTCTTGGGGTTTAAATAATAATGTAGAAAATCACGGTTAGACGAATAGACATTGCTATGTTATAATTATCTATAAAATTTTTTAATATCTAGTAATTTAATCATAATTTTTACAAGTAGAAATGCAAAAAAAAGTGTTGCTAAACAGATATTGCTAAGCAAATGTTGCTAGAAAATGTTGTTAGGTTCTTGGCAATTGTTGCTTGTTAAATGTTGCAAGGATATTGTTGAGCAACATCCCAGAACAGAGGTTCGGAAAGAACAGCATCCTTATTGTTTAATAACTCCCTTGTTTATCATTAAATTATGTTTAAATTTTTGGAAATTAATTTTAAAAAATATATCAATAAAATGAAAGTGTATAAAGCTCTGCTTTAAATAAATTTCCACCCATAAATAAACAAGTTTTAACCACTGTCTTTATCCTGGCGGATATGGAAGTCTGCCTGTGCGCTCCTGTGGCTGCACTGCGGTTGTGCATTTGTGCGTGCTGCCGCCATTGCCGCCGCTGCAACATTAGCATTCATGTGCGTGTGCGTGTGTGTGTGGGACAGGTGGAAATGCAGGTGGAAAGGAGTGTGTGCGGCAGGAGACGTTAAGGTTTTGGTCCTGGCCAAAACGAGGAAAAAAAGAAATAAAACCTCAAGCCAAGCCTTGGTGGCTGCAGCTGATGACAATGTCGGGGTTAACTGGCATTAATGTCATGCAGCCATTCCATCGCTAAAGCCAGGCCAGGAAGCCGTCGCCGGCGAAACCGTCCGGAAAATTGTTGAAAAGCAATCGTCGTTGTCTGACTTCCAGACCCTAGCGTGTGCATGTAGACTCCACGGATGTGAAGTATATGAATAGTTTGGCACATTCCTCTCGAGTTTGGTCAGGTACGTAAAATATATTTCAGAAATACTTTTCAAAAAACTTTCGTCAAGCCATAAAATGTCAAAGAAAAGCATTTGCTTTTGTAAAACCATCAGTTGTTGACGACATTTCAGTCTGCCAAATTGGCATTAAGAGCCTGTTTTATTAACCAAATTTTTAATTGCTACTAATTGGTAGTGTTATTTGTTTGCTGTAGGACTTTTTACCAATGGAGGGTGAGTGTCAAAACCATGTGTTTTTAGGATATATAAGGAAAAGTCTTTAAATTAAGTTGAGAAGTTAGCTGAAAAGCCTCCTCAGTTTCTCTTAAAAATGAAGGAAACTAAGGAAAAACTTTTACTAAATTCCTAAATTTTATGAGATTTATAAAGGTGAAAAAAAAAACTCCCCTCTTCGATTAGTCCTTCCACACGGTTAGAGCTTAAATGTTTCCCGTTTTTTTTCCGAGACTCACAACACGCACTGCAAAACAATTTCCACCCACCTATTGTTATCGACACCAATGACAAACCACTTTATGCCCCATTTCCGCGACCCCCAACCCCTCAGGAGCTATTAAGACCGAACAAAATTGGGCCAACTGGGTCAAAGTTCGGCGAGTCAGTCTGTCATTCAGCCCGAATACGGGAAAATGGAATAGAAAATAGAAAAATAGCAAAATACAAAAGTAGAAAAATAGAAACATTGAATTATTATGAAGGGAGCTAAGCCGTCTAGACGTGTGCCAAATGAAATCAAATATCGTATCGTATACTGATTTCGCGGCATACCGTCGACGGTTGAGACATATTGATTTTATATCATCGATGTGGGTGAGTGTGTCCTGTGTGTGGTGCGTGCCGTGATGCGTGTGCTCCGGCGGCTGTCACGGTTCGACAGAACCCTGATTTTGGAGGGCCAGTCCTTTGCCGACTTTCAACCAAGATGCGTGCCCAACGACCCAATGCCCAGGAGCGCGAGAAGTTACGCCGCCAGCGATCGGAGACGCGTCTCATTGTGGCACGTTGCAACGAGCTAGGTGGACCTCTTGCCTCATACCTTGATTGCTTTTCCTTCAGGACACATTGTGTTTTCTTTTTGCAGGTTTCGAGTATGTGGTCAATCCGCCAGTATGGCCCACGGTTGGATTTCTGAGAAAAATCCGTAGGGATTCTGAGGGTAACTTTGTTCGTGAAACTTTCACCACCGCCACTGAAAAGCAGATCTTGGCGGGTCCAGCTAACTATGATATTCCCTCAACTATTGGTTTTAAGGTAATTTTTTGAGAAATATTAAATAAACTTTAATGATTAACTTCCATTTATAGTACCCATCGAAGGCTGGCTTTTCTGCCTTGGCTAATAAGATGCCACGCCTGCCCCCCTTCGTGGAGCTTGGCTATCCCCCCGTCGGAACTTATGCCACCGATTTTCAAGGCACACAGCATTCCTTTACCTTTAAAAAGGCGGTTGAGAAAGACCAAAAGTGGATGACTCCGGGGTAAGTTCATATTAAATATAAATTGTGAGAAAGCTTTAATTATTAAGTAGTTAACGTAAGCCCATTGTTTAGGCTTTTCTGCTAATTAAAATAATTTAAGAATTTTAAAAGAGTTTCGCTAAGATGCCTCACAAGAAAATAACTAAATTTATTAACATAACTTATAAGAAAGATTCTAACGAAACCATCTAAACCCACAGCTCCTTAAGATATATTACATTTAAAATAGATATTTAACAAGCTTAAAACTTCTTGGAATTATTTAATTTAAACTAGTTTTGTAACATATTTTCCTTGATATACTTTTCCCCCGCTTTTCTTTCAGCCCCTCCACCTACACACGCCACCTTAAATATCCGGATTCCCGTGTGGAAATGGCTTTCGGCTCCCGCCGCATCATTTGGCCCTCGGTTCCGGTCTTTTGCAGTCCCTGGAATCTAGTCCGGTGCTCGGTGTGCGGCGAGAAGCCGGTTGGTGATTATTTCCATAATTTTGGCAATGATCAGGATATGTGTAGGGTGTGCATGCACGTTGCTGTGGATGCCATGAAGAAGTGTAGCCTCCAGGTGACGGAGCGATTTAGCCGGCAGCAAAAGATCAAGCAATTTGTGCATGCCCGTAACTGTGGCTTCTTCCATAATCATGATGGCACCAATGCCACCATTGAGAAGGATACGCGCAAGGTCCTGCGGCAAAAGATTCGCGTGGAGAACTATCTCTATAGATTTGATGCGAAGGAGGAGTAGAGTTTGAAAATCATATTTGGATGTGTAAACCAAGTATCTTCCGAATCAAAATAACCATTTTTCAAAGCAGAAGAAATTGAAAACGTATTTAATGTTCAGAAACGTATATAATAAAGGAATGTTTCGAGCAGCTTTAAGGGCAATCCTCACTGTAACTTTTAAAGTTTTTTAGGAACGTGTTTATTATTCATTTAATACCATAAGCTCAATAATAGGAGCACTCTTCCCCCCCGTTAATGTGTTTGTGGTAACTTGCATTGAGTATTGTATTGTATACTTTCCTGCTGGAACATTTTAATCGCATTTCCGGTATTCAGTTTCCTTTTCCTTCTGCGTTTCCTGGCATCCGGTTGGTAGCAAAACCCCCTCAAAGCCAGAAGCAACGGACAGGGTAATACATAGAACACACATAGGAATCGTGGCTGTGGCAGGACAGCTGCGTCCTTGGCCACAATGCAACAATGGCTGCTGGCCATTGGCAGACATTACGTATACGTACAGTACGGCACAGAGTCGCCATTCTGCACTGTCAATGCAGAATGGCATTTCACAGTTAGCTTGTTTTGCATTTGGCCAGCCTGCAGCTAGATGCCACGCCTCCGGCCCCTGTTCTTGTTCATCTTTTGGCCAACTTTTGGCCATTCGGCACACGCGTGCCATTCCATGAATGCAAGTCAGGTGTGCGCTCACCTGGAATTTGCACGGGACGGCAGTGAAAGTTGGTAGAACGGTAGTTATACCCCACATTAAGGCGACACTTCCTGGTGCATGATTAAAGCCCGGGATCAGAGTTGAAATGGAAATGCATCTGGCAAAACATGGACGGGTTCTTTTAAAAAGGGGAATTTAATCAGTTTGGAACTTAAATTCGGGTTTCTTTTTGGTAAAAAGTGGGAAAACTAACAAGTTATTACAAATTATAGAAAAAACTTGGTAGATTATTTAATACTTTAGCATTTTCTGTTACTTTAAAATATAAATAAAAACTTAAATCAAGAGTTTTTAACAAGAAATCCGATACGAAAAACTCTTTACTCATCAAATGCTGTTCCTCACGAAACGCAAAAATGCTTCAGATTTATTCATTTTCATTTAAAATGTATTAAAAGCTGAATTTAAAATGCAAATATTCCATTTATTTCAAAATATTTTCCCAACCACAACCTCAACCAGGAAAATGCAATGATTGTTGTTTGTGAGGTAACCATTATTTATTGATAAAAGCTCACACAGATGACGAATTGATTCAGAAGCTGCAAGATGCCATTGTGCCTCATCGTTCTCAAGGAATTTGGCCCAATCAGGAGTAAGCTATGAAAGGAACATATATGTATATATATATTTTCAATTTCATGTCCTGGGTAACCACTGAACGTAGATCGATTGCCAAACAAAAAAGAACAGCCACTGTGATATAAATTGTATGAATTTTAAGAACTACATCATCAGCAACCGTTCCCTTCTTTTTGAACAATTTTTCAATTTTCCACCACTGATGACAAATCGTTGAACTTGGCCGTGCAACCAAAAAGAACAGCCACTGTGATATAGAAATTGTTGATAATATATCAGCAGCAGCAGTTCCCTGGGGTTGACACCGGTATGAGAATGTCACACTAAGTTAAATATAAACTCAAGATGAGCTTTGATGTTTCGCACTTTAGGTACAAAAAGAACAGCCACTGTGATATAGATGGGAAACATACAGCACAGCATCTATTCTCTCTACTTTAAAGGCTTGAGATCCTTACTCATAGAACTCTTCAAACTGAACAATCGATGATTTTTGGACTTGAACATGCGTTATAAAGGAAAATCACTGTGATATGGATTGATAAACGCATATCACAACGATCGTTCCTTTTAGCGAATGGCCCTGGTTAGCTTGAGAAATGTCACTAATTTTTGGATATTTTCTGCTGCAAATGCCACAACGAACTTCAATGGTTGTCTAGCTTTATGATCAGAAAAATCACCTAAGGCTGGACGACCAAAGAAACTAATTGCAACCGCCTTGGTTGGATATATTTGTATCTTGTTAAAACTTCACTTTATCCTTCAACTTGATGAACATTTTAAAATTATAGCACGAGTGTTCGGTCTAGTCACTTTGCTTGATCGGAACCTGATTGAAAAAGCGACCATACCGACAATCGCCATTCAATTTTAAAACTTGGATGTTTTTGCACACTTTTGGAATTTTAATTTCCTGATTTCTATTGGAGTCTTCGATGGGATGGCCAGGTTCTTGAGACACACTTTGCCCAGTGATGAGTTTATCATGTTGACATGACTGCACAAAATGCATCCCAAGATCGGGACCTTTGATGGTTCACTGGATTTGCTGGTCGTCGTTTTGAGATTATAGGACAAACTTTACCCAGTGCTGCTAGGAAATTGGCAAAACCGAACAAGGTTTGTCGTATAATTGTTGGTGCCTATGGAGCTTCACTTTGCCACACCTCACACTCTGGAGAATGCGTTGGTAACTGATGATCTATCTGCCGGAGGTAGGACCTTTTATACCCATATCCTGTGCATTGCGATCGCTTACCTGTGGGCGGCAGCGGGCGCGGTTCTTACCTGCATGGGGTTTCGTCCTGGGATTATTCCGCGAATTCGCGTCCCGGATCGCCGCGACCTTCGTGAAAATTTTGCAACTTAATCCGTGGCCATAAACGGATTAATGCAGCTCTGTTTCAGTTTCAGGCGAAAAATGCGCAGCTGTGTCCGCGCATAATTTTCGCAGAAACGCAATTAGGTTAAGCCCGAAAAGGACCGAGGACCTGGGATCGGGAATCGCCGTCGGGTTAATTTGGTAGTTAGCGCGAAGTCTGTGTTCCCCGTGTCCTCGTACCTTGTAGGTATCACGCAGGATTTGTCAAGAAGTTTCCACATTCCCACCCAGCATTTGGCGGTGACTGTACCAAAGCCAAAAAGAACTACGGTAGCCAGGAGTAGGATCAACCTTGACCATCACTTGAAATAACCACCTGTTGACAGTAAAGCCATCCAAATGACCATCTCATAGAAAACTCTTTTCTTTAGTGTCCTCACTTAATGTGGGATTTATTGTGTCAACTTTTTTGTACTTGACTGTACTCATAGAGGAAATACCTTAGTTCATTTACATATTCATATATATGAAGGATTTCTTGCGAAAAATCTCTATTCAAAATAATCACACTTTAATATTTGGTTTTAAAATAAATTAAAACCTGAATATTATTATATAGGTAAGAATATACCCACTTATTGTTGTGATCCTGTGGAATTCTAGAAGGTAATGTCTATTCTAGGGTAAATAAGATTGTGTCAATGGACCTGAAAGAGAAATTGGATGCCCCAAGGTCCTGAAAAACGTGATAAGTTAATCCTTTTATTAGTTATTATTTAAAAAACAAAGTAAGAGATTTCTCTGATATTTTTAGGAACGAAAGAAAAGAAAGTTTGAAATAGAATTACAGGGTCGGGAATAGATCATATATTTATCGATATATTTATATAAAAATTTGTCTAATAAATAAAAATTTCAAACCATTATAACTAAGGCAAAAAGGCCCCAATGTTAATTCGGAAAGCTTTCATATGTTAGTTTTTTATAAATTAAAAAATCTGTATACTCAAATTTAAAAAATTCATCAAATCAATATCATATTTTGAGAATTTTAACGATGTATTTTCTTTTCTACATGTCTAGAAAGATTCGCCTGTTGATGCTGATCAAGAATATATATGATTTATAGGGTTGGAAATGACTCCTTCACTTTCTTTTAAGCTTCTGACTGAAGGTGAAATGCCATTTTTTTTGTCGATATTAACTATATTTTTATTTGCAAATTTTACTACAAATCAAAATTTAAAAAACTCATTACTAAGCCAAAAATGCATTAAATTCAATTCGGAAAACGCTCGTATGTTAATTTTTAGCAGGTTAATAAAACTGCATACTCAATTTAAAATGTGAATTTTTTGGCGATTTTTCAACATTTTAATGATGTAACCCCTTTCCTTTTTTCAAAAAATGGGAATCTTCTGAAAAAAATATTTTTCGCCCTGATATAGCTGAAAAGATTCCCCTGTTGATGCTGGTCAAGAATATATATTATTTATAGGGTAGGAAATGACTTCTTCACTGGGAGAGAAGAAGAGAAATTGTGATCCTACATATAAGATGTCCTTAGTATATATTTTATAAGAAAGAAGAAAGAGATCCCAACCCCCCTTGCCATTTATGTCACTGAAAAGCTTTCCATTAGAACACATATTTATGTTCGAATTCTTACACTACATTTCGCAGACAAGTGAAGTTACATAACACAGAACACAAATCCTGTATTTTTGAGAATACAATGAACCGCCATGGAGTCGTCGAGGCTCTTCTTCTGGCTTCTACAGCGTTAATAGTGAGTTCTAGTTATTTTTTTCTTAAAGATATTGCTCCAGTTTTGTGAATTTTCTAAATAGCTTTTGAAAATGCAACAGTTAAATGCATTGCCACTGAGGAATTCCGATCCAGAGCCACTTGTTAGCACTCCGGCAGTAAGACCTCCCAGACAAGCTCATGCGGATCCATTTCCTTCAATTCCGTCTATGGGAGGCGGTTTTAAAGTATTCGGCAAGAAAAATCGTGGTGAACAACTCCCGGTGGTATCTCACAGACCCACAAGTTGGCCTCGAAGACGTCCCACGGCTGGAAGAAGATTTTACAAACAAGATCCTCCAGAAGATGGTGGCTCAGAAGGAAGCTCAGAAGGGAGCTCAGAAGGAGGCTCAGAAGGAGGCTCAGAAGGAGGCTCCGAAGGAAGCTCAGACGCAGGAGGCTCAGACGCAGGAGGTTCTGACGCCGGAGGCTCTGACGCCGGAGGTTCTGACGCCGGAGGTTCTGTCGGAGGTTCTCTCGGAGGTAATATAGGAGGTTCTGTCGGAGGTTCTGGTGGAGGTTCTGTCGGAGGTTCTGGTGGAGGTTCTGGCGGAGGATCTTTGGGTGGTTCTGGTGGCAAAAGATTCACAAATGCACAAAAAGAATTAACTGTTAGTTATTCGGGATATGGCGAACACACAATGGAAAGCCGCTTATATAATGCCCCACGTGACACGATCAACCCAAATCCGGTGAAGAACTACTTCCCCTCCATGAAGAACCTGACCACAGTTTGCATCAACAGGACTACCATTTACAATGAATTCAAGATTGAAAAATGGTTGATGCGTGGCCTTAATAGCAAGAAAAAGACGAATCGTGTAATGTTATCTGATCTGCGACGAGAGCTCTTTGAAAAAGGTGAATCCGAATCCTGCCACAACCAAAACAACACCGACTGGCAAAAGTACCAGGATTGTGCCCTTCGTCGCAACCAGCGGATGGAGTACTTTATTCCCAAATATCCGCGACACCAAATCGTTGCAAACTAATAATACTATCCGCTTATATAGGTTAATTTCATTAAAATTTTAAAATTCTAAATGCGAGAATCAAATTTATATATTTCCATTTTAATCAATTGTTAAAAATGGTCTCGTTTATAATAAATTTATCAGCGAGCAACAAGGCGTGTTCTAATTTGATTTGAATATTTTTGATGGGTTTCAAATTTATTTCTAAAATAACCTTAGTTTATTCTTCCAAAAATGATGTGTCGCTGTCTTTTGTTTCTATATTTATATATAATTAAATGTTTAAATACATTTCTTGTATAATTGGTAAACTTCTTGTTTTCATATATTTCTTCGACATCTCCAAGTTAGCTTTCTTGATTGTTTTACTTAATATTGCTTCCATTTCCATTGCCCCATATTCCCAAAGCAAAAGATTAAACAATTTGGTTTTGTAGCATTTGCTTTTGTTTTTTTTTTTCTTGTTTATTTGGTAAAATTAAATCAATATCTTCATTTCATTTATATGTTTTTTGTTATTACCTTTTTTCAGATATCATTTCTTAGAAAAACGAACATAATTGTTTCAAATTTTCAGCGTTGTACAACTAGAAGGAGAAGAAAACAAATATTGAAAACAAGAAGATGTTGGTAAAATGATAATAAAATCTTCTAAGTAAGTAGTTTCTGCAGCAGCAGCTGTACTCCAGCAGGATGTTTCCAGATATCCGCCGCTCCTGACCCATCCATCTCTCCATCTCTAACTTCCTCCACATGCTTCATACTTCCTCCACATTCCACACATCATCTCTCTTCTTCTACGCACTCCTCAAACCAGCTGTGGGAAGGTAAAAAAAGATGTACAACAAGATTATTAAGACATATTTTAGAGAAGTGGTTGTCGTCTCTGGGGCTGAAAGGTCATGATGTTGTTGTCTTAGTGGCGATTCTTGATGTCCTTATGCAAAATTTAATTTGACGATTGGGCAAATGTTAGTTTGGTGTAACATAACTTTTTAGAGGGTGGTGAATGATAGAAACCTGTAAAGAATACAACATTTAGTTAGAAATCTACAACATTAATGAGACATTGAGCAAGGGGACTCACCGCTTTTTATAAAATATTGTGGGTTTCCAGTTTGTTGGCCATCAAAGCCGAATAAATCAATGGGGAGAGATAACTATGATAACTAATCCTTAAATGGTATGTGTTATAGCTTTTTACACTGCAAAGATATATTAAAAGACATACAAGTTAGTACAGCAAAAATTAAGGATTGTAAATAAAGCAAAAGAAAGTAATAGTTTAGGAAGTTACTTAAAGTGGTCTCAAGGTTAAGGATAGTTCTGTAGTTCGTTTTGTAGTTCTGTACTACAAAGATTTGTTTTAAATTGTATAAATAAATAATTTTGATGAATACATCATAAGAAACCCATTAGTGCTTATTTTTTTAATATAAAAATGTGTTTTATTGTTTTTTAGAAAATTAACCTTATTACAGGACATTTCTACGGTTTTTAAAAACCCAGTATACGTCGCTTTTAATAGACTCTAGAAATTACAAAGTTTTAAAGCCAGACGAAAGACTTAACTTAATTTCAATTTATTTTCAAGTCGTGAGTTTCTTATTTATATCAGATTCTCTTACAAAAATGAAATAATCCTAGACAAACTCAATGAGTACTAATGATTTCATTCTATATATCAATAAATCGTATACTTAACAAGTTAATAAACCCATTACAAATATGAAAATGAATTCAATTTTATTTAATAACAATGCTTTTTAGGCATGTTTATAAGTACTACCCATCAGGCTGTATCTCACTTTCCATGCAGATACAAAAATCTACAAACAAACCTGGCCAAAGGTTGTACTGTAAATAATTTCGAAAATAAAAATACCAAAATTTGTGATTTTGTTTGTTTTGTTTTGTATTATTTTTTAAAAAGTTTATTTTCATCATCATTATTATTTATTGAGCTTAGTCTCGGGTCTATCTAAATTGGATTTTGTAGAATTTTAAAAATTAAGAATAGGTTTTAGTTCGATCGCTTTCCACATCGGCGGAAATACTGTTGTGTCGGAATACGTCTAAGTAAGTAGGTTGGGCAACTTAAGTGTACGGAAACAGTCTCGTGAGAAGGAAGGTAATAGATAAAGGGTGAGTGGACGTGAACGAATGAAAACATGTAAGCAACTTACAAGAAATTGTCGGTGCCGATGGCCCGGCTGGTGCAGCTGGGGTGGTCGATGTGGCTGCTGCTCTGACCGCCGCTGGTTGCTGTTGGTTAGGTGTCAAATGTGGTTGTTGGTTGTTGTCCCCGTCATCATCATCAATGTAGTAAGTTTTGTGGTAGTTGCCCCCGCCGCCGCCGCCGCTGCCATTGTTATTGTTACTGCTGATGTTGCTGTTGCTATGGTGATAGTTGCTGTGAGCAAAGTTGCTACTGCCGATCGCGGTTGTTGTTGTCGCTGCCTGATGCTGCTGCTGCTGCTTGCGCTTGTGTCCGGTTATGCTTAGAGCCGCCGATAGACTGGAAGCAGCATGCAGGATCGAGCGCTGGTTAAAAATGCTATTGGAGGCGGCCGCCGCTGCCGCATTGTTGTTCTTCCGGAACTTCTGATGATGATGATGATGAGCTGGGGGTTGCGGCAGCGGCGGCGGCGGGGGCGGTGGCTGCTGCTGCGGCGGATGCGGATGTAGCGTTGGCGGTTGTCACGAGCAGGTCACCTCCGTTGTGGCTGTGCCATTGTTGCTACCGTTGTTGTGCGGCTGCTGAGGCTCCGGCTCCGATATGTCCATCTCAGAGCCATTTTTACCCGAACTCTTGAAGCTGGGTGCATTCATTTGCGCCGCTGTGGGGGTAGTGGGCGTAGTTGTCCCCAAATCTGACGAGGCATTCGAATTCTCCTCCGTTAGCTAAATAAACAACAATATTTATTATCTTGGATAAACTGGAAAGGTCGTGAGGTAACTTACCGATTCGCTTAGCCTCTGAATCTTGGCTCCACTGTCTCGCCCGCGGTTACCGCTCGCCGACTGCTGCTGCTGGCCTGTCGGCAGGGCATCCTGAGATTGGGCCAGCTCCGTGGAGAGCCGCTTGCGGTTGGCCAGCAGCGTGTTGTTAAAATTATTGTGACTCTCCATGGACTTTCGTTCGCGCTTAAGGAAGTCGGCGTCCAGGTAGAGCGACAGCTGCTTGCGTTTCACATGACGGGCATCGATGGCCATGCCTTCCTTGAGCATTTTAATGTTTACCTGCGGGAATTGTTCGGAAAGATTAGCGTTTGGGTTTATTTATTGCTGGGCTTCCCCGTTGTGGGCTTTTACTTACGCCATGCATCATCACATGATCCGTGAAATTCTTTATGCTCTCGGTTAGGTCCACATTGAGGTTCTCGGAACGCTCAAACTCCAAACCGATGAACCACATCGAGCAAAAGGGCGACGAAGTCACCGAGGACTGGCTGCCCTGCGACTGCTTCAATTCGTCCTCATTCCCGCTGTTGTTCTGCGAATTGTTGGCACTTTGGCCCTTCTTAAACTCAAAACACTTGGGATTGACGTGTGCCAAGGCAATATGCGGATTCCGCTCCAGGTTTCCAATCAGCAGGCGCACCTTGGACTCCACCAGGCCGCACCACTCCAAGTGATCGTCGGCCGTTTGTGAGTTTACCAATAGCACAATAAAGTGGCGGTATCTGTAGAAAAAGCTGGGAGCCTCGAACAGGCGCTCCCACGGAATCCGGCCGAGCATGATCTCGTCCGTGATATTCATGCCGCGATTGAATTCATTCAATATGACCTTCTTGGTGGATTCGGAAACGTTGAATGTGGAATTCTGCTGTGGATACGCGGGCGTAATAATAGGCATCAAATGATACCGATCCGAGGCATTGACACGAGGATCCCAGACCTAGAGAACGAGAACAAAAACGGATTAGTTAATCGACAAGACTAGCTTATGAGTCATGGCTTACCTGAAATCTTAGATTAACATTGTCGGGATGCTTGAGTAGCACTGGATTTGGCCACTTCCAGCGCGAGAAAACCAAAAAGAACTTGTGCACCAGCGTGGCAGCTGCAGCATTCGGATACAGCTGGCAGGTTCTGGCCACTAACATGGCCCAGGTCACACCGCCGAAGTAACCCAACGAATTTGAATATATGCCGTGCTCTAAAAGGGGAAAATCCAAGAAGTTAGTTTAGTTTTTATTGTAGGTACAAAATCATTTGAAACTTACTCTTTGCCCACAATTTAATGGTGCGCAGGGCCAAGCGGAAATTCTCAATGTTGGGCACTAGGGCCAGGATCTCGTCCGTCACGCGGCAACCGTTCAGACTACGCACCGAGCGATGGTCCAGATTCCGCAGCAAATTATCGTCGCGCAGGTCAAAGTCATCCGGTATCTCCTTGAGCGAGAGTCGAGCGAACAGCAAATCGATCTCGATGCCATCAAAGTTCATCTTGATGACCGGCACGAAGGCCTCCTCCACGGAGCGGCACTCGGTGACCTCCGGCTGCTTCTTCAGCACCTCGAAGAAGCTCTGAAAGTAGTCGGTGCGCTCGATGTTGCGCGGAGCCACACACAAGGCGTCGATATCAGCACCCTTGTGATGGACACCCAAACGGTACGAGCCGAATGTGTAGATCTTTCCACCAAGCTTCTCCGCAGCAGACTCTGGCATATTCTTGCTAACGGAGATCTCCTTGACCCACTGTTTCACCAGGGTGTTGAGCTTGGCCAGGATCTCCATGCGGTGGTTTAGCTCGTCCTGGCTCTCGAAGACATTGTATGGCTCCAAGGAGCCACGCAAATCTTCGGTCCTCTGCAGATCCTCCGGCCTGGGCTCGGCCAAACTGATGGCTGAGGTCATGCCCAGCTGCTTGGCGGGCGGTCCGCCCGAGGTAGTGTTGCCATTGTGCTGATGATGATTCTGCTGCTGCTGCTGGCGGTGTGTTGGTTCGGAATTCCACATTCTGTCTGTTGTCTGTTGAGCTTAAAATTATGTACTGTTGTTGGGGAGTTGAGAAGAGATTAGTTTGGCTGATTGTTATTATATTATCTAGTAATAACTTACCTATCTAGGCTTAAAACGTATTTAGGTATTACACTTAAGTTTGCTCTCCAATAAGCCAAAATGGAATTATATATGCGGCACTTCTCTTGCTCCTGATTTCAACGACTGCCTGCGCTTAATAAAATGCTGGAAAAGAGAATGATATAAATAAGTAATATGTTTATAGCTTAAATAATATAGAAACTTGGCTATTTCACGAATATTTAAAGTCACGAGTCAGAGAGAAGTTGCTAGATAAGAATCACTTTGAAAAAGTAATGGGAGATCTCTGGCAGATAAAATAGCCCTAAAGGCTTTAAAAGTACAAGTTTATATTGCTAACTTGGTTGTTTAAGTGCCAAAAACACACACAAATGATAAAAAGTTAACAAAACAAAGTAAATTAACTCGATCTCAATTGTTTCACTGCATCGAGAGTGCCCTGCATCACTGGGCAAGGGTTTCTGCCGAACGAGGTTCAGAATTATCTTATTTTCTTTTTGTGGTTTCCCGTTAATGGACAATCACAATTTATTTACGCGCTGACTAAATGCAATTTGCAATTTGTGCGATAAGATATTCCACTCACCGCCGTTATATTATGAATAGCATAACAATGAATGTCATGCGGTAGCTGGTCACACTAGCGCCTGTCGCCTTTGGGCATAAACAAATGCGTAAAACAATTAGCTCGAGAACTAGGAGTCGGAGGAGGAGTACTTTTCGCTTGGCGTGTGCAAATGTGCAGACTAATTGTGAAAATGACAAACATAAACAAAGAGAGAGCGAATTTAAACGAAATTTGCGTGCCTGCCTGCTTGTCTTTCCCCCCGCAGGTAAACGGTACTCTCACCAACACACACACACGCGCTACGGCTCACGCGCTCACGCACACCCACACCGCTGTGAGCGACGCACGCACCACATACATACACACAAAAATAAATACATAAAAGTTCGAGTGGGGGAGAGGGAATTTTATCGCTTGTTTTTGCTTACCTGCGCTGCGTCTTCTAATTCTTTTTGTAGCCGCTGCCTCTGCCGCTACTTCAAACAAATGATGTGGGTGTGTGTGAGAGTGTAGCGTGTGTGTGTGCCGTGTCCATCCGCTGCATTCGTAGGGTGTGCATATGTATGTATGTTAGAATTTGGCAAAAGTGTGGCCCATTCATCTGTTCTGGTTGTTGTTGGAGCTCCTCCTGCTGTAGTTTCTCCTCTTTGAGGCACTCTTTACATCTCCCGTTCGTTCTCGTTTCCGTTCGCCCCCTCCCACTCTAGCTGCTGCGACACTTTCTTGTAAAACTCTCGCGTTTTATGCTACGTGACGTGCTGCTCTTCTGACGGCGAAACTGACGCACACGCACACACCGATATACATATGCCAGTTGCCAAAACGCGAATGCAAACGCAAAAACAAACACTTTTCGCCCACTTGCGGGGTGCTGGCGGTAGCGCTGGGACTGTGATAACGTTGCGTAGATGACGCGGGGGAGATTATCGGGCGGCAAACATTTTCCGCAGCTTTTTTTATGCTGATTTGCGCGTTCTATAAAAACATTGGAGCCCCTATCGATACTATCGATGTTCGGAAATATTTCTTAAAACATCGATTTGTTGCACTATCGATGTTAAAAGAAACATTCACTAAAATATTACAATTTAAATACATTTAAATTTTATTATTAAAAAACTTTTTTAGTGCTGGAGAAAAAACGCATTCTTTTTCATTAATTTTATTTTGTTTTGTACTCTTTATTATTCAAATAATGAAATAATATCATATGTTACCTTTCAATGAATTGTTGAGTTCTTTAGTATTAAGATAATTAATAATAAAACAAATGATATGTTATTTTTGGATAATAGAAATATTAGTATGAATAATATATTTATACATTAATTAATATAGGTTTACTTATGTTTCGTTTATTATACTATTTTATATTAATTACTAAGTAAAAAATTTAACTGAATTCATTAAAAACTAATTGAATTATTAATTAAAAATTAATCATAGTAATTGCCAGCTCTATTGCGCGAAAGTAATACAAAACACCAACAACCGCAAAATATACCAAAATATACCAAACCCGGCCAGGGAAAGGTGCAGTCACATTGGCTAAATTCTAGCCAGATTAGAGTTGTAGTGGAGGAGAATTTAAGCAGCCTGTCAAATTGGAAATACTTGTCAAATAATCTAACTGGGAAAGGGCCTTGTTGAATTTTTAATTATATCAACAGCCTAATTTGTATTATTTATTATTTTTAATAAATTTTATTATTTTTTTCTATTTTTAAGGGGTTTAAAAAAATATATATATTATATAAATTTTATATTCCTAAATTTTAATTTTTATAAAATCAATTTGTTAATCTTATACAAAGTAGCATTTAAAACCTATCCGAATTGATTTGAATACTTTTTTGGCTTATTTATTAAATATGCAACACTTTTAATTAAAAATTATTATATAGATAAATTGAGTTTAATTGCATATAGCGTATAGTCATCTTTGATGCATCTAAAAGTCAAATAATTTATTAAAAAAACGTATTTTAATCATTTTATTAAACTTAAGAAAATTTACCCTGAAAAGCCTTCCTAATGTCATTGTTTTTCTCCTAGTATGTACATGAAATTGTCCTCTGAAATAAATTTTTTATAAACGCGAAAAATAAATGAATTTGTATGTTAATTAAGTTAGAGTCTTTATTTATAGTTATAAAATCGAAACCTGAGTAAAAAATTACCATTTTTTACATGAAATTTAGAAGAAAAATCATAATAAATTTAATTAATAAAAGGATTTATTGTAATCGACTGTTTGTCATCCCTAGAACATTTTCGCAATCGACTCCGTTTTAGAGATGGTAAGTCTTCGATGATGTTCTGCATCCTATCCTAGCATCGGTGTAATCGACGTTGTCTCCACCTCTATTCTGTTTATTTTTGCGGAGAAAATGAAAAAACGGCAACGAAAAGAACTGCAAAATGTAAGGCAACCGACGAGTGCCTAGCTGCAGACCCGGCACCGGCCCGCACCTGCACCCGCAAAATGATACCCTGGATGCGCGAGAAGTTCAACGAGAAACGGGCCAAGTGGCTGGCGCGCAGCAAGCGGGGCGTCGGCGGCGACGGTTCACCGGCGGACGGGAGTCCGCGAAGCAGCAGCCACAGTCACAGCCTGCGAACGGACGGGGCCAGCGATGCGGAGAGCCTGAGCGGATCCTCGCTGAACGTGCACACGGCGGAGTGTGAGACGCAGACGGAGACACCATTGTCCAGGCCTTTGGTTGGCGGCGGTGGCTGTGTGCTGAGGACACCCTCTCCCGCCCGTCGCCGTCGCATTCAGCTTGAGCTCCAGCTGCAGCAGCGGAGGCGAGAGGAGGAGCGGGTAGTGGACCAGGATAAAGACTCCGGCCAGGACTCACCGACACCCACTCAGCAGCAGCAGGCACATTCGTAAGTTGTCAGTTGTTAAAGTATTCACAAGGGCTTACCTAAAAATACATTTGTCATCTCGAAATTTTCCGTTCTCCCAAAACGAACTATGCAAAAACTGCGCAGTTTGTTCCTCAGGTAAGAGACGCACAGGTACTCCGAACTGCACAGCCTAATCCTCTGGTAATTCCCACAGAAAACCAGCCCAATCCAGCCGCCAAAACAACTCAGCTTGCTGCAGCAAGGCCGAGGACTCTACCAAGCCGGGGGAGTCCATAACGGTGCGCGTGATTTGTCCGAGCTCGCGGGTGCTCATCTTCAGAACGGACGTAAACAAGCGCTTAAACGAACTGAAGAGCGAAGTGATCCTAGAGCTTAGCGACGATCCCGACTCCATTCAGCTATTTGCACCCGATGTCCGCCATCTGAATCCTCGCTATCGCTTGTATCGCGCGGAATACTATGGAGGCGAACTGAACGAGTCGGAGACCTTGGCGCAGCTGAACGTGCGCAACAATGAATCGTTCATCTTGTCGCCGCGACGCAGCACGTTGCCGCATACGGTGGTGCGGATCCGCGAAGTGCCCGGTCCTAACGAGCAGCTGGTAGAGAGCGCCACGCGCTATGTGCCCTCCAATGCCTGCCAGCTGCCTACCATTGACATCAACGAGATCTTTCAGCAGTCAAATGTGAGCTTCCTAAGCCTTTCCCCTTTCAACTTGTTTTGACTCCCGTGTTCCTTTTTAGATACAATACGATGTAAGGAAGGTTCTGATCTCTCTGGCGCAAGCATCGGCGGCTGTAATAGGGGCTGGTCCCTATGCTCCACGTTTGATTGCCATGCTGAAGCAACGGCTAATTAATCGGCGTAATCAGCAGGCGGATACGTTGCAGTGCCTGGTCGATATGGGTTTTAAGCGCGAACTGGCTGCATTTGCCCTGAAGACCCACAATGGCGTTTACTCCACAACGATGGAGTGGCTGATGCAAAACCAGATTGAGGAAAATTCTCAAGAACCGCCGGCCATGGACATGCAACACAGTGTCTCTTCCATTTCGCCCTCAACGATAGTCACCAATAACGTAACTAAGGCTGAGCTTAGTCTTTCTTGTATTTAATGTGTTCTTTTATTTTTGCATAACAGGAGGTGATTGAAAACACCGCCGCCTTGATGGAGATCGTGCGCATCTACAGCCATCGTGATTCGCCGCCTAGCGATGAGATTGTGGAGTCGCTAACGGAAATGGGCTTCGAGGAGGCGGCAGTGCTGGCGGCGCTTAAGAAAACGGGCAACAACAAGGCATCTGCCTGCGAATGGCTGTGCGACAATCGCTCGGGCAGTGTTATAGAGCTGCGCGAAGGCCTGGCACCCGATTCACCCATCCTAAAAGTGATCCTGGAGATGCCGCAGGTGCAAATGACGCTCAGCAATCCCAAGACCTTTTTAGGTAAGTCTTAACCTTCACTAAAATACCCATAAATGCCAGATAAATCTGTGTTTTATAGCGTTTCTAAGCATTTTGGAAAACGAGCAAGCGATACGCGTGTGGCGCGGCGATAACGACACCACCTCGGTCATCACACATATCCTGCAAAAGTACCATGAGGAGAAGCATGTGCTGGGCATCAATCAGTTCTACACGAACCGCTGGTGAACGGCGCCTCAAAGTGGCTTTATTATGAGATTAACCAAATTATATTTATTCATATACATACACCATTGCAATCACGCTTGGTCCACATTTTGGGGCCCCATTATAAAGTGCACACTCGCTTGTCTGTGAGTGTGTATGGAATGTGCCCGTATGTAAAGAGTATTTTTGTAGCCAAAAGAAAAAACAATGAATGTAAACTGCACAAAGCCAAAGATGCAATCGCTTCGCCCAGAGCACGCGACTGCACTCTACAAACGCTTACCGATCAGTACGAAATGCATTATATACACACAAAAAAAAAATATATATATATATACATATGTATATATAAACATAAATATACATAGGATCTAGTTCTAGTCAGGCTAAACCCTTACTCTAACCATCTCATTTGCTAGCTCATCTTCACTCAGTCGAATCTCGCACTAAGATTAGCAAATATCTCAGAATGGCATACCACAGATACATACTTACATCCCCCTCAGTTTTAAGCAAACGAACTTGTGCTAATGATGGTCAGAGCGTTGTATGTCAGGTTGTTGAACATAGAGCCAACAACTTGAACTTGAAGTATTATTTTGTAAACCAAATATTCGATTTGCATTGTTTTAACAAGAGGCAAATAAATCAATTAGTTTTTGATACAAAACAATGGAAGTGATGGTGTTTTATATTTAAACGCGTGTATAAATATAATTTAATATTGTTTTAGGGGAATATAAATGTCTAGGCGATCCGAGAGTGATTTTTATTGTTATCAAACTGTGTTGTTCGGAACTTATCCTGATTTTTGTTGCCCATTTGCGTTCATAGTACTTTTATAAATATAATGATAGATTGTAAATTATGATAATTAAATTGAAATCGGCTTATATTATAATATTTACTCAATTAATATAAAGTACTCCATTTTATACCCTTCAAGGGTGTCGTAATTTTAGTCAGAAGCTCTTAACACAGTGAAGGAGTCATTTCCGACCCTATAAATTATATATATTCTTGTTCAGCATCAAAAGTCGAGACTATCTAGCTATGTCCGGCTAAAATTAAATTTTTTTTTACAATTTTAAAAATTTTGTAAAGGGTTACATAGTTAAAATTTTATAAAAATTTTATTTTTCTTTAATTAAAATTGAGTATGCAGATTTATTAACATAATGGAAACAAATACATAAAATCTTACCAAATTAAAATTAATGCATTTTTGGCTTAGTTGAGGTTTTAAAATTTTCGGAATTCCCATAAAAATATTCATAAAATCGATTTAAAAAATGTGAATATTCTAAGGTATTATCGATTTCGGATTGGAACCTACAATTTAATTCTTTATTGCAAGGGTTAACAAGTTTCGTCTTCCCGAATCTAATTTCCTGTCTTTTTTAACCTTATTTTTCTAGCTAATTAATTAATACCTGCCACTGTATAAACATATAAGCCCCATATTTAAACATATAACGTATTGTATTTAAGTCGCCAGGTACTTCCCAGATTGTAGTTTCCTTAAATCGAAGAAAATCAAACAAATTATAGATAATTTTAGTATGTAAACTTGGTATGACTCAAGTTCTTTATTGTTCACCATGGTGTATGAGTAATATTTGCAGATACTTTCTAAGACTTGAAATGAGTCACTTTAAATAGATAAGTGGGTTCCAATTCATTCGTAATCCGGAACATATGTAAAACGGGAACATTACTCTTGGTTGCAATTTGTACAAATTGAATTGCATTTGTTGTTGCATTCCCTGCAGCAAAATAGCGTTGAATTATTTTTGCTATTGCGCTTTTTAATGCATTACAATTAATTTTCCGTGCGGCCGCACATTTTTCATTTCATTATTCCCACCAACTGCAACATGAGTTGAAACAAAAACTATTCAACTATTCAATTGTTGCATATTCTTTTTTGTTGCTGGAGTGGGTTTGGAAAAACTAGAGGGAAATACATTTTAATTTATGTTAAGCGCGTTTATTAAGTGGTTGTGTTTCCACGAGATACATTCACTAGCCGTTGGCTTTTAATTAATATTTAAGCGCAATATTTGAATTGTTTAGAAAATAGATGCAGGGGGGGGGTTCAAAAGGGCAAATTATTTATGGTCAGCTCGGGTTTTTATTAAATGTCTGCGGTTGCATGTTGCATCTGCAACAAAGGCAACCGGAGCAGTTGAAGCGAGCGGAACGGAAGCGGACAAAGTATCTGCAAGCTTCGCCTAATGGCCCTTGGCGATGGCCATGCAAATCTATCTCTAAAAATTGATGACGCATGCAGCGGGCGGGTGTATGGGATATACCATAATAAATCATCTGGACCCTTGCTAAGCGCCTCAGGCAGATGCACTGGGAATAAATGGGGGGACATCTGTAATTGAGAATAATATATGTGGATACTACATTGCATTTAATTTGCTTAAAATATCTGGAGTTTAGGATATGAATGGGGTTCATAAATCCAGATAGGAAATATGGGACTTAGATATGGTAAAGTTAATTTTCTAATTTATTATGAAAATAAAATTATAATACCCTGTAAGAGTGTAATAAGGATAGGTCTTATTGATACCTTTCTTTGTTTAAAAGAAAAAGTATTTATTAATTCCGATTTTTAAACATTAAGCTTAAGATTTTACAAAGAATGCACTTAACAAATACCAATTAGGAGAATTATTTATAAGGTTTCATTTAGAATATGCTCTTGGGCTTATATTTTTTGGAAATCATATGTATAATAATTAATTATATAATTAATTATATAATATATATATAATAATTAATTATATAATTAATTATTATATGCAGTATAAAAACTCTCTGATTTAACATTCTATTACATTTCCCCAAAAGTATCTACGTATCTAAAACCATTTTTCCTCAGTGTTTCAAACCAAGGAAGGGGAGTGATTGCTCCTGAAAGTGGCCAAGGCAAATGAGTTTTTGATATTATCAAAAGACGAAATGCATTGACAAGGACGACGAGCGATGAACATCGCCCAACTAATCCTCCCCCGCGGCAATTGCCCCCAACACCCCCCCCCCCCCCCCCCCCTCCGGGATGGTTGCCTATAAAAAAACATCTCAGCTCCAGCTGGAGTTTTCCAGAGGGGGAAAATGTGGTGGGGTGGAGATGCGGAGATGGATATTGAAGTCGTGTGGCTTTCGCAATTTCCGTTGCATATTTGCAGGCGTCGCAAATTTATGAACAGCTTCTACAGCGACGATGTCACACCACCACCACCACGAAACAATACCAAAATCGGATTGGCGTTGGGAATAGGAATAGGGAAAAGCTGCTACAAAATTCCGCAATTTGTATGAAAATGAAAATGTTTTGTCATTTCGCCAATTCAATGATTTAAAATTCCTGTCGCATGCGATTTTGGCGCGTTTTCCATGTTTATATTTGCCATTAAAGGCGGCAAACCGAATAACTTCATCGAATGGATGCTCTTAAAAAATTGCATTTAATATGCATTAATAGCACCCGGTCCATGGCATTATCCTCATCAGCTTCCAAAATCGAATGTGTATAATAAAATATTAAGATTGGTAAAAAACATAAGCCGCGCCATTATGTATGTTGTCCTCGAAGGATGAAAATAAATGTCAAATAAATGGAAGAAATAAATAAGATAGCCGCAGGGAATACCAATTTTCGATCAAGAAAATCGGGGAAAATATAAACAAAAGTGTAGAAAATCATAAAATAAAACATATAATTTAACTGTATAATTTAGAATTTACTCTAATACTTTTTCTTTTCAAATATGACTCCTAATTACTTTCCAATCTTCTGACTAAAATTAAAATACTCGCAGGGTTATATGACAAATCCCAATTAAATCTCCTATTGCTTTAATTTACAAAATCATGATCAGTTAAACCAAAATCGTTCCCATTCGAATTTGAAGGGAAAACAAGTAAATCGACCCATCAAGATTTCAATCTTTTTAATTAAACATTCCCCTGAAAACCCAATCTGATAATGGCTGTTAACAGAGAAAAGGCTCTTAGTATTCATACCACATCTTAGTATTCTACCCAGTTGGGGTACTTCATACCGAAAACCTCAGACCAATTAACCATTTAAAAGCGAATCTAACTCCTTCATTAGCAAACATTGCCCAATTTCTACCCTCGTCGCAAATATTTCATTTATATGCCATAAATACTTGTATGAAACTTTCAACGCGACATGAAAATTAAACGAAATGATTCCCACTCCCATTACACATATTCCCCATATCCTTAACTCCCCATATCCTATGTAGCTGTGTCCTGGTATCGTTTGTCTTTACGGGTAGCAAATAAAAATTCTGCTTTAACGCATGAAATCACACAAAGATACTAAAAATTTGAACATGCAACTTTATGTTGGCCAAAACGGCATGGAGTCTGTGGCAAGGATAAAATGTCCTTTTACATGGTCTGTGGAAGTGGGTGGCAGACGACACTCACACACACACACACACACATGCATACAAAACAGCAACAATAGTAAACAAAGCGCCACAGTTTATGACGCAGTAGGCCAACGTTCCCCGGCCTCATAAATATAAAAATTAGTTGCCGGTCAGTTAGCAAGTGGGCGGGCAGTTGGGCGACGTCCTCGTCCTCGTCCTCGTCCTCGGTCCGTTTCGCTTCGCTTCGGTCTCAGCTAGAAGGCCACGGTGGCCGCCCACAATTAATTAATTAGTTCAGTTGACAAAAATTGCGGTGTTTGTGAGGGTTGAGAGTTGGGAAGGAGGTCCTGCGGCTAGTCCGGCATGTGTCTGTGATTGGACTGGCTTACCCCAGAAGCTACATAGCTGCTAACCAGGAGTGTGTGTGTGTTTGTGAGTGCCTAAATGGCCGCTGGGACTCTAATTATGTTTATGCGTAAAGGGATTCGTAATTTGACAACTAAATTTATAGATTTTGAGCTACAAATAATACTTAAGAAGGCTGCAAACTCTATTTTACGCTCATTTTAAAGGATATTTTAATTTTTGGAAGCATTTTAATTATATTTAATTATATACTGCGAATTTCGGAGCCTTGTATGTTATTATATTATTAATAATTATGTAATTAATATTCATGTTTATACTAAGTCTTGCCATTTTGTTTTAATTTAAGTTAAAGAACATGTTCTATAAATGGTATACACTTGCGGGGTATTATAATAGTATTATATAGTCAGAACCTTGTAACGTTGTGAAGGAGTCATTTCCGACCCTATAAATCATGTATATTTATGATCAGCATCAACAGGGGAGTCGATCTAGCCACCTCAGACAGAAAATAAAATTTTTAAATTTTTTCAAAACTTTTATAAGGGGTTACATCGTTAAAATTTTCAAAAATTGTCAAAAATTAAATTGTTTTAAATTTGATTTTGAGTATGCAGATTTATTACCCTAATGAAAACAAGAACAAGAAACTTTCCGAATTAAAATTAATGCTTTTTTCGTTTAGTTATGAGATTTTTAAACTTTCATTTGTCGACAAAATTGTCATATAAATATCTCGACAAATATTATTAGTTATAAACGATTTTCGATTCGATTTAATTGCCAACTGCAATGTTCAATTAACTTCAGTTTCCCGAAATTAGTTTCTTTTCTTGTTTTTAAAGAAATCTAAAAGTCAGAAAAAATCAAATTGTAATTTAAGTTCAACAAAGGTATTCTTTGTTAACAAATCAACTTGTTTGGAATTGATAGTATTATAAATCTGGTTTTCCTAGGTACAATTCTCGATAACTTGACTTATTCGTAAATTTGCTCGCCATGAACTTACGGCTCCTGTGACGCTATTTATACATATGTATGTATGTGTGTGTCGTGCGAGTGCCTCATATTTATGCACATGTGTGAGTGCAACTGTTTTGGCCATATTCGCCCTTTGTGGGTGTCATTCCGGTTTCAAGGGTCGTGGGGCCCTGACGGCGGTCAACTGTTTTCATAAGCGTAGCAAATATTTTCACAAGGCCAATTAGTGGGCAGGCCCCCAGTTGACCACAGCTGCCGAGAGTTGTGCCGCCTTCTTGTTATATCCTTGATCCTTTCCCCCCTGTTCCCCTTCGGTGTTCCTCTTTCCTTCCTGGAAGAGTTCTAAAATTAATAAAAAGCACCCGAAAAACTTTCCAGCTCGTGCTGGCTTCCTGCCACCTACCGCTCCCCCTCTCCAGCTGATCCACATTCTGGTTTTTGTCAACGCAACATACTTGCGAACAAAAGTGAAAAAGGCAAAAGCAATAAAGTTTTCAATTGTTTCTTTCGCACTCTATGCAAGAGTTTTCTCCGTTTCGTGCTCCTCCTATTTTAGTTTTTTGTAGAAAGTTTTTAACTGGCGCTGACTTTAAGTGCAATTCAGTGCCGAGGCCGAAATAAAAAAACACACAGAACATGAAAGAACCCGAAAAAAAAACAGAAAATAATAGAGAAAAAAGAAAATGTTAAAAACTTTTCGCCACTTGCCCGCCGCCGCTGCTGCTGCTGCTGACTTTTTGCACTGTTCTATTCTGTTTTGCGGCTGCCACATTCGTTTTGTTTTCGCCAGTTTAAAAACGCATTGCCAAATGTGTCACACAAAAGTTATTGTTCGTGCTCTGTGTGGTGTGAGTGTGTGTGTGTGTTGTGCTTTCTCCTCCGCTGTACCGTTATTTCGCCTGGCACAATGCAAGTGCCGTTATTTGAGAGCCCCCACAGTAGGGAGGGAGAAAGAGTGGGGAGAATGCGGTTGCTTTGTCTCCTGCATTGCATTGCACATTTCGCACTTGACACGACGATGCAAAGTGTGAGGGAGAGCGAGAGGGATAGCGGGAGAGGCACGAGTCGAACGGCACTTAGCGGGTCAGTGCTCACCCCCACTCCATCACTCCCCCCTCGGGGGCCAGGTGATGTCGCCCACAAAGGAGTCCAGCAACAAATACACAGTTATAAATGCAACTGGGTTGAGTGTCTTAATGCGTGGCTGAACGCTGACATTCAGAGGAGCTTTCCATTCTCTTTGGTATTCATTTTTAGATGAAATGTTCTTTTTGCTTTTGAAGGGGGGTCAAAGGGGTGACAATAACAATACTGTGGCCTTCTGTTTTGTACAATTTTCATTACTTTTCTAAGCTTGGTATGTTTATAATATTACTTCTACAAATAGCGATTAGAATATTAAAAAAATATAAGAAATACCTAGTACCTTAAGCCAGGATGGGCACATAGGCACTCTTAAGGCTCACAGGACTCTGTCCGTCATAAATGGCGCCCAAATGTGGGACCCAAACGTTCTCAGGAGATTTCCAGATTTAAATTTTATCACTCAGCCTAATAAAAAGTATTTTAAACGTACTTAATTAATAGAATAAATTTAAAAAAAAGACAAAATAATTTGACAATAAATCTTTCTTTAATTTATTTTAAATAATAAGTAAGCCCAATATTAAAAAGAATTCCGAATCTAACAAATAAGTAAGGCAATTTATAAAGAGATCTCTACTATGCAGTTCTAGTTGAAAGGTAAAAACTTTTGAACAAAATATAATATAATGTATATAAATATAATATATATTGCTTATACGCAATTAACTTCCTACCATAAAAAGATTAAGTATTTATTTAATTGTAATTATAAAGCATAACCCATAAGACTCAAAGCTCTTTAATTTCAAACAGGCGAATTTCTTAATTTTTCATTACTTTGACTTATCCTTTTGTAAGCCAAGGACTTTGAGTAATTAAAGATACATCGTTAGGAAAAATATGTGTTAATTCCTATCCAATCTGAGATCCAAGATAGGCTCCCCTTTTCCATCCTTAGATTGATTTCCAAAAAGCTAGCTTAATAGAAATAATTTTCGCAAATTCTCCAATGAATCCGTAAAATCAAGCGGCTTCCTAAGCCGATCTGACGCTAACAAGATGCGCTCAGCTACCAAAATACAGTGAGCTGTCTTAAAAGCGAGCCATTGATACGCGGTGGTCCCTTGACAGATTAATTTTTAATGAGCCAGTTAGGCAGAAATTAATGAGGATGGGAGCAACAAACCGCCCACCCGGGGGGAAGGACAGAGGCCCTTCCAAGGCTGCCTCACGTGCCTGCCCGATAAATCATCATTGCCAAAAGCCAACAGGCGAAACAAGGACAACAAGCACCACAATGAAATACAATTGCAATTTCCCGTGTCCGGTGGCCGGAGTCCTTACTGCCCGCTGCCGCCGCCACCTTCTTCTTCCCCGTAAATCCTGACAAATGAGCGAAATTTCATAGCTCAAAGGATATTAACGTGTATTAGCGCGAGACGAAGGCGAATGCATTAAGTCAACTAACTGTGGTAAATAGAGGGGAATCAGCCAGAAGGCCATCCTTGCAGCATCAAATTTGCTGCTTCATTTATAAGGATTACTGCCCCCAAAACAGTAGAAACTCATAACGAAATTACTTGCAAGAAATGCAACAAGCTCAACTATAAGTAGAAGACACACTATAACACTATATACACACACCGTATAAAACACACACACACCACCGTGAGGAGGGTGGAAAATTGGCGCCGTGACTGGCCAACTGGGTGAGCTGCCCTCATGGCCCTGGAAAACACGAAATATGCATTAGTTTTCCCCGTTGTTTACCATGATTACAACTTTTTGCTGTTGCACATTTCGAGGGTTGACTTTAAGAGGCTTTTGAAAAGTCGGCCAAATCTATATTAAATAGGGTTTCCGTGGGGTGAAATATTAGTACATTTATAGAAATAATAGTGAGTGAATTTAGGAGTATGTGTATTAACTATATATATTTAATTTTTATATAGCTATAATTAATATCTACTTACTTTTAATTATTACCATACCATTACTACGAAGAAATGTAGTACTTACTGTTCATTTCTACTCTAAAAGAGACTACCAAAAAGAAGATCTTACTACACCTATTTATCAGTAGAATAAATACTAACCTTACATTCGATATAATAAAGTCTCAGTAACCTCTGCTTTTACCTTACCCCATATGGCATAAGAGATTTGTTAACATCTCTCAGTCAGTCAGTTTAAACCTTCGGAAGCAGAGCTCAGAGAGTTAACAAAAATGTCACAAATCAGCAAAGTTATACCTACTTTCAAGTGCGTAATCGTTGGTCCTGCCGGCTGCGGAAAAACTTGTCTTATTGAGAGCCATCTGACCGGTGCTTTTGAGAACAATTATAAACCCACCCAAAGTACTGAAGAGTTTCAGCTAACTTTCCATACTGGACGCGGTCCCATCTGTTTCAAAGTTTGGGAGAGCACTGGTCGGAAGGAGCACTATACCGATGCCGAATGTGGCATTATCATGTATGATTTCTCCTCAAAAACCAGCTATGATGCTGTTCCCGAGCTGGCCAAGGAACTGGCTAGCATCTGTGGCAATATTCCAGTAGCCATATGTGCCAACAAGTTTGATCTGTTCTCGGCCACCAGCCATATGCGGATTCTAAATGACCAGGTTGTAATGTCTGTAAAGCTAAGACTGAACATGGGAGGACCTTTCATCTACCTGGCAAAGAAGCTTTTTGGTGATCCAAGTCTGTGCTTTGTTCCAATGATGGCTGCGCAGCCGCCTTATGCCCCGATCTCCAAGGATGAACAGTTGCGTATATTATTAATGGAGCTGCCTGAGCTACCCAAAGAGGATTATGATGATTATTATAACCATATTTTACCAAAGACATAGAAACAAAACATCAAATACTAAATATTAAAGTTCCTCGAACCATTAGAACACCAAGAGACAGTGGCTTCCTAACTGTTGACAAGTGACTTGGCCATTTCCCCAGAGGAACATATCGGAAGGAAGGAAAAAATACACAAACAGCATTTTTCCCAACACCAAATTACTTTTAGTAGCTGCAGAGCTATTCTTTGTACCATTTAGCAATATCATAGAGAGACACAGAGGTATGAATGTGAGCCGTACTGAAAGTAGCTGCTTGTCAGGTGCTCTTCGGTTTTCCCCATTTGCGGTGGCACCATTAAAGTCAGCCAGGATGTCAGAACATGACGACGAGGATGCCGCTCCTCGAGTTATTATAATTAAAGTCGAGGCGGCAGGAGTTTCGCTTTCTTCGCCTTGGCTTTATTGTTTCCTTTTGTGGAGTTCTCTGTGAGATGTTATTTGAAATTTCGACGCAGTGTCTTTGTCGTTTGCTTGTTTGTCGTCGGTTGTTTACTGCGGCAAGACAGCCACAAGAACAACAGGGTGTTTTTGGGGCCAGGACAACTCAACAGCTTGGCTGACAACGGAAACGGCAATGGCAACGGCAACAAGCAACATCAAGCAGCAGAAGTAGCAGACACTACGTGCTATATGCCTTTTTAACTTGATTTAATGAGTGCAGGGAAAGACATCAACAAGAAAAATGAAATAACTGTCATTGAAGACATGAAAAAGGGAGTCCAGATGGGGGATAGACAACGTTTCTTCGTCCCGAAGCTGGGATGAGTTGAGCCGATGGTGTGGAGTGCGAGGCTGCGCTACTTAACTGGGACACAAGGGGTCGGTCTCCTTTCCAGAGTCCTGTGTCCCGAGTCCTGGGTGTGGCAGGGCGCAATTATGCAGCAAATTAACGCTTTATATTTATTAAAAGGAAACCCAAGGAAATGGGCTTGGGCGTGGCTTTCAAAAAAAAAAAAATCAAGAAAAGAAAAACGGGGGATGAATGACTCCCAGTGTACATAATGCCTTTTACTTGACAATTGACGAATACTTCTAGGGGAATCGTAGAAAAAGCCAATATTTATATATCAGTTTTCTCATTAACCAATAAGGAAATTATAAGCCATGTTTATTAATATTTATGATGCCGTTTAGCAGGGAAAGTTATAGCCATTTTTGTTCAACTTTTAAATACCAAAAGAGCTTGTTATCAATAGACCCCGGATTTCATGTTGCCTATGTTTTTGCATAAGATTCCAGACTTTGCTATCAGTATGATATCATATGTCGGTTTTTGTAGGAAAATTTTATATAAATTGGGAGGGGATCTTAGGGGTGAAGAAACAGCTATTTAAATGTAACTATTTTAAACTTTAATTCACAATTAATTTAAACACACATCATGAGTTGGTTTTCTGATATGTATAGCACATTCTATAGCACATTTTGTATCTCACATTTTGTTCACCAAACATTAAAACATCACTCCGTTTGGTCAACCTTTTTCAGTCTATATTTATTATTTAGTTTACATAGTTCTTAGCCATTACAAGTATTTCACAAACTTCACAATTTTATATTTTCACAATTCTACATTATGGCACAAAGGCCACACTCCTCCAACACACAACAGGCTCCCAAAAGCATGCAGCACTCGGCATCGCTGGGTCCTGCCGGTGGTCCTGGCTGATTATAGCTGGGCTGCTCCACAACCACAACGGGCTGAGTGTAGACTGGCGATGGTACTATCACCTCCACAGGTGGTGGTGGTCCCACTACATTTATCACCTCCACGGGAGGCTGATAGTAGGGATCAATTACGTCCACTTGGTAGCCTGCGTTGTACATCCTCGATCCTTGGGCTCTAGTTTATTTATTTCTTATTTATTTGTGTTGCAAGTGCAAGTGCTAGTATGTAGTTAGTGACTAGTAAAAAACGAAACTAAGTGAACGCGGCACGGTGACGCGCCTTTAACTGAAATATCGAACGCAAATGGGGCTGGCTGGCAATATCTTACTCATTATTATCTAAAGCCGGCGGGAATTTGATCAATGAGCTGCCCTGATTACAAATAGTGTGTACACGCAAATATTATTGAAAGAACCAAGCCCAGGAACAGTGGGATAATTAGGGGGAATTTTTATAAAATAGTTAAATGATCGAACTACTATATTTATTAATAATCGTGTAGTACCTTTGTTGAAAAACATAAAACTCATTTATAAATAAAGTAAACCAATGGCTTAAAGCAGTCTGGATATTTATTTAAACTATTTATATTTAATTTTACTATTTAAAGTCAGTGTACACGATTCTCTATATATTTTCTATGTATTTACGTTCAATAAAAACCAGCCAGAAAGCTTCCGTAAAAGCCTAATACTGGTTTTTCCATAAACTCATTGTTCAAAACTGGTTTTAAAACGAGAAATACTTAAAAGGATTTTAATTTAAAGTTGCTATTACTATATATTCAAACATTTTCTCTAAAATAAGTTGAAATGAATCACAAATCTAATAGAATTCAGATCTCTGTCCCACTGTCTTCCGGCTGGCGTATCACGTTGCGTATGAGTAATATTGTTTGGGCTTTAGATAAACATTTTGGCCAAGAAACACAGAGAGAAAAACAGAGAGAGAGAGAGAGAGAGAGAGAGTGAGAGCGGCCCAGAAAAATTATGTTAAATGAGCAGGCAGCAAACGCATTCGCACTCGTTGTGGCACACACTCCCTCGCTCTCTCAGCCATTTTTTGGGGTCCCATTTGGAGGACCCTCGTCAAAATATATACATATATTTTTGGGGCGAGAACTCTGGCACTGCGGTTGCAATTCAAGCGCCAAGAGTCATAAAATCCTTTATCAAATGAGAGCAGCAGGCATGGAGTTGGCTTGCCAGCACTCTTGACACATTTTCCGCTTTTATTGGCAAATTGAGAAACATATAAATAATAACTCGGAATGTGAACTAACTTTTGGAATGATGTGGTGAGCATTTCCCAGCCCGAAAGAATTGTCATTTGCTCCCCCTTTTCTTGGCCGCCATAAAACTACAAATTTTGTTGTTGTTGTTGTGGTATGTTATTAAATTTGGCTTTTTATTATTATGTGGCATTGAGATTTATGTAAGACAATATGTTACCAGCGAGCCCCCTGCCGAACAGCCAGGACAAAGTGTTATTTACAACGGAATCGTAAAATTTTATTGCACGAAAAAACTGTGTGAATTGTGTTGGTCGTAGACATAGAAAGTTAATTTAACGTAACGCATTAAGAGCCTCCCTTGCCATGTCCTTTTGTTTTTTGTTGCCTGGAGGAAAAACCTTTTCCACTTTTCTTCACATGATTGTACAGCAGCAACAGCAATCGCCACACTGCATGCAACAGGGGCAACAGGGGCAGCAGCAACAGCCCTTGTCATGCGGCGGAGGAGGAGCTGGCTGTGGCTGGACAATGACCGTGGTTCCTGGCTGTGGCGGCACTTGTACCACCTCCACGCGAGTTCTGTGATCCATCTCAAAGGGTTAAGTTGTAATTAATATAGATGAAGTAAAGCCGACTTGTTGCACTGCACGCGTTTCGTTGGACACTGGACTTGGTGACTAGATTGTGTTATTATAGTCGCCGTCCCGCCAATCTCTGCCTATTACGCTTCGAGTCTTATCTATAGATAAAAGCTACAGTGGTACCCGTTATCAGGTACTGGCGATTTGTATGTGAAGTACCCCTTAAATTCGCTGGGGTCTCACCTTGGTTGTCTACCCAATAGTTTGATAAAGGTTTGAAAGGGAGGCGTATAAAATTGGTGATTGGTAATTGATGATTTATAATACCTATTTTTGTTTGAATTTTCAAGGAAATACCAGAGCTAAGATAAACTTTTATGTACAAATGTAATAGAAAAGATAGATAAGGCTACCGATAAACGTTATCTTCTTTGGTTTATATTGTTATCTTGTGCAGTCTCTTAGGCTCATTCTTTAAGATAAGCAATTGCATTTCCACTTATTAAATAGGCCTTGAATCCCAATCTTAATTTAATTAACATATAAAAACATTTATAAAAACTAAATTTATTTATCCCATTATGCCGCTCTATTTGCATTTCAATTTTGCATTTATTTACAGTACAATTCCCCTCTTCAATTACATCTAAGCCAACTCTTTCGTGGCGTTATCAATTGAATGACTCACATTACAGCAACTATCAAGGGTAAGTTGAAGCGCTCTAATGTCGCATAATACCAAATGGGGCAGCTAATTATATGTGCCACCTTATCTAAGCCCTTAAAAACTATATCCGAGTACGCATTTTGCATTCGAAACCAACCATCCAAGTGCCATCAGCATCACCATCAGTGGCCACATCAATTTCAAGCCGAATAGTTCCTCGTTTGCTATCATAAACCGGGGATCTCAATTAAAAATTTCACCCAACACCAGGCAGGGAGGGCGTTACCTTGCTGAAATTAATAAAAATATATATGGATATATATATTTTTGAGCGCCCTTCGTGCAATGGCGATGATAATTAGTGTACGTGATTCTATTTACTTCGACCGAACCTCGATGAATATAACCCCGCAACATCCCCCTCTTAGTGTTGGAAAAAAGGGGTCGATCCGGGGGTCCTTTAAGCCAAGGGAATGTCCTGTGTGTAATATGATATGCGCGTAAAAAATATAGTACGTGTGTGCGTGACAATGGCAACAACGTGCGGCAGATCCCCCAAAAAGGACGAACGGGGGGCTTTGGGGTGTCAAAAATGAAACTACGCCTGCTTGGAATTTTAAAATAACCAAATGAGTTTTAGCTTGATGAAAATAAGCAACAACAATAAGGGAAAATAGAGAGAAATAGCAGAAGCAGCAGCAGCAGTCGAAGCTGAAGCAACAGCGGAGCCCATAAATATTTATAAACTTTCCCCCCAGTCTTATAAATACAGGGTCATTAGTTGGCTTGCACACCTTTCACCGGGGATAGCCAGGATCCACGCTCACCTCGAGGACAATAAAAGCGAAATAGGCGGCAATTTGAATTCCTCTACTCTATATAAATAGGAGACTAAGTGAGACGTTAGTTTACTCAAACTGGAAGACTATAACTAAAGGGTTAATGGGGTTCAAACTGATTTATTTGTTGGGGAAACCTTAAACCAAGGAAATTGGAATTTTGCGTACCATTTGTGCAGTTTTGCGGGTTACTCTAAGTCAGAAAATGTTAAAAAATAATTAATATTTTTGAATTTTTATTATTAATTTAGCATGATAATGAAAGCTGCATAAAAAGATTAATTATTAAAGTGTTCATTAATCAGTAAATGTTGATAAGTCTATAAGGAATCATTTTTTATTGAAGGTTTTACTATGTTTCTTAGAACGAATTTAAGTTAAAAATTTATATTTAGCTGCTGTATTAAATCAGAAATAGCTTGAACATGTTTGTACATAAAAATATGAATGATACAACGTAGTAAATTATATACAGTGTTTTATTTTTTAATGATTTTACTAAAAAGTCTTAAGCTGAAATATTTCAAGTCATATATTACGCATACGCAACGTTGGCTAACTTTGAATGACAAGTTACAGATAAATATCGAATTATTTGAAATTTATATATCTGAATAATTTTAAATTAATATTAAGTAATTTTAGAAGCATAAGAAGTAAGTTTTCCGATAAACTTTGAAATACCAATATAGAGTATACGCACTGTGGGCCAATTTCAAATGTTTTATAAACAGAGGTCAGGACCAAGTCTATCAGGGTTTCATATTTAATTTATATACAAATATATAAATACATTAGTAATAAGTAATTTTAGGAGCTGAAGAAGTAAGTTTTCATATAAACTTTGAAATACCAAAATAGAGTATACGCACTGTGGGCCAGTTTAAAATGTTTTATAAACAGATATATATACATATATACATATATTTATTTAAACAATTATAATATATATTTAATATTAAATAATTTTAGGAGCTTAAGAAGTAAAATTTTCGACAAACTTTGAAAAACAAAAATAGAGTATACGCACTGTGGGCCAATTTGGGATGTTTTATAAACTAAGGTCAGGACCAAGCCTATCAGGGTCTCGTATTTATTTTATATATAAATTTACATATATAAATTTACATATATATATTTATATATATTTATTTAAACACACATTCACATACCTATAATGTATACAAAATACATATAAAAAATGATAAAGCAAAATGGCGAAAAGTGGCAGTAAAAAATAAAATGCGCTGCCGCAAAAGTGCCATTTGTGGCATAAACACATGCGCGCCAAAAACTTTGATAAGACAAAAGCCGAGCGAGGCCACCGCCGATTCAGGTGGTGCTCATGGTGGTGGTGATGGTGGGTGGGAAAGGTTACCAGGTGGCAGGCCGAAAACTTTGGCAAAACTGTGGCAAAGGCGACAGCGGTGGAAAGGCCAGAGAGTGGAAATGTCCCAAGAATGAACTTCGTCGTTGTCGTTGGCGGTGGAGACCGCCGCAGTGTGCCACTAAATGCTGCCACTAAATGTGTGCCAAGTATTATTGCAGGTGCCAGGTGGCAGGTGCCTATCTGCACACGTGTGTGTTTTTGTGTGTGGGTGTGCGTTCTCTGCTTCTCTCCGAAAAATTTCCCAAGGAGCTGGCGGCTCCTTGAAGCGCCCAGGACTCGCATAAAATTAGCACAATAAAAACACATAAATGCGGCACAAAAACATGAAAATCCACTTGTTATAATTTAATCGAGTTGATAGAATTTTTACGACACCTTTCGCTAGGTAAATGCGTGGGAGCGAGTCGAGGCTTTTGCCTTAAAATGTGGGGCAAAATAAAAGTTTTAATCACACGTCGCCGCTTTATAGCCGGCCATGAAGATAGCAAATGCATTACCAACTTTGCTTGGGATAAACTTTATTTTAAGGTAAAACAAAAAAAGAAACAAAACAAAAGGCCAAGTGAAATCACTTAGGTTTTATGAGAGTCCAAGACACAGTGAATTTTAATAAGGTAGAGAAAGGTTATACTTTCTAAAAACAAAACTACTTTACTTAGAGGAGTTTTAGTACCACAAAAAGCTAATATATTTATGTATTTATTCAAGTAATACCTCTTCCAAATAATAAT